TATATATGCCGTTTTACTGTCAGAATATGATGCGTACTTCGTGCTTAGTGGTGTGTGCATGTGTGTGTATGTATGTATATGTATGCTTAAAAACGGGCAAAGGATAGCGCATTACTATAGAAAGCAGTGGTTCAAATATTTATGAGGCTAATGTATACGAGGAATTATTCTTATATATGAAAATTCGAAGTTAGGAGAGAACTCGAACTGTAGTCGCCTCCCATATACGACGCCTTAAAATATTAATGATAAGTAGACCAGAACACTTAGGTAGTGGCTCTCACAAAATGATCGAACAAAACCATTATAAACAAATCCCACTGAGTTATACTATACATAAACATATATAAGCTTAGCTATGACGATGCATTTGAAATTGAGACTTTACGCACCTGGTTGTGCGATAAATAAAAATAAGCAATTAAAGGCCTAAATATTGTGATGCTTTTAGATACTTATAAGAATTCTATGTCACGTTTACTGAACTTTGTAAATTCTGTTACGTGCAGTGTGTGACCGATTATGGTATAGTTCAGGGACTTTTACTTTCGACGGGCTTGCCTGATATATAGGCGACTTCGTAACGAGTCTGAGAAGAAACATTGGTCAATACGAGCGGTGCATCACGCAGACATACTTTCATTACAAATTCTAATATTAAGCCCCGGGCCAATGCACACAGCAATTTCCGGTTTCAAATTGCAGCGCCTGAAGGTACTCTTTTCAAGGACCACCTAGTTACTTTTCCACTGATGTTCTGGGTTAATTTTTGCTCAGGATCTGACCGTATTGAATATAGAGCAATACATAATCAATTTCAGGTACATTTACTTAACAAAGACTACATTCAGCTTCTACTAAGATTCAAATTGTGTTGAGAAACAATGCAGAAATCTTGACTTGCTATTAAATATACGCAGTAATAATGCTAAGTAGGCAATTTTCGGTGCGGCCAAGTTTAATCACGGCAGTGTAACCATATAAATTGTTTACGGAAATTCTGTCGAAGTTGTAACTTGGTTACACGTTTAACAAATGAGCGTCTGAATTCGTTCCAAGTGTTACTGTCTAACTTTCACCTATCATTTCTTTTTTTCCATGATTCTCAATATACATTTTTAGGTACGAATCACTGGCAGGCATCTTTTACGCCACAGGGAATAATCAAAACTCGTCCACGGCAAACATATAATAAATATAAATGAAAGAAAAATAAAAACTTGTTATGTTGTAATAAAAACTTGTTAATGGACAAACAAAAAAAAATAGATAACAATTAACATAGCTTCTTCTTATCTTTGAATCTGCTCTTAATGATTTTCAGTGTTATACTTTAATGCTTAACAATGTAAATTACAATGCTAAGCGGTGCTGGTATTACTCTGGGTAACTTTACGGGACTATAATAAACGCCTATAAAATTCTATAAATAATGTTGGCTCCGTGTTATTACGTAAGTTTATTGCTTTCACAGTAAACATGCCAAGCCTGCTCTACTTTAGGAATCGGTCAGATTTGTGGCTGGCTGAAAATTTTATTTGTTATTAAAATCGCTGTTTCAGAGGAAAAATTAACTTACTTGGATTGGACAAGTTGGGTAGAGTGATGACAAAAACAAATACAAAAGGTATGTTTATCAATCAAAACTCCTAAAACCTTTGTGACGTTTGTTTTTAAAGGTTAATTAGATCGTATAGTTGTCAAGAACCTAGTTCGGCTCTAGCTACTTAAGCTCCTTGGGTATAATAGTCTATGAGAGTCTTGAGACCGATTCTCCGGAGCGAACATCTTTGCCCGTTCGCTGAGATTACTGCGTGTGTATGATAACGTAACCTTAAAAGTGGGGTACTTTGCAGCTAATAATACTAGTTGGATTCTTTTTTTAGGTTCACGCCTTAGCACGAATTCAGTCTTAAATACTGTCGAAAATAATTTAACTGTTATTGATGAAAGCTTAGCTATGTACTGGCATCGCGGTTGTTTATATACATACACATACATATACACGACTGCCAGGATGTAACTGACTGTTTTTGTGAAATTTTTGGGTGTTTATTACTAACCTTTAGGATCGCACGACCATCTCGGCTGTCTTTCGTATCGCAGATGTTAAGCATCGCAGCTATTCTCAGAAGACTTTGACAACGACTGGGAACACACGTGGGAGATGCTCATGCCTCTCACTTAGAAAAACGAAAATTGTTTTTCTCTATGCTAGACTGTTTTGTGCTGAATTGAATATATCTTTGGAGAACTATCTGCGTTTATGGATTACGAGTCAGAACTATATACTGTTTCCTACCACACGAAACGAAGGCTGCCGACCTCTATGTAAGAGTGCCTTGTGTAGTCGAATTCTCATATAATTTTTGACCGGCTGCGTTATCGGTTTATCTTTAACCGATAGCTTGGAAGCTTCAAAATGACGATCGATTTACAGGCTTATGCTGTGTGAAAATGCAAACCAAAACGATTGATGGGTTTTCAATTGAGTAGCTTTAAGGAGTTCGACGAGGACTACATTCCTGTATTTCTCATGCATCTCAATCACTAGGTACGCCCACGCTGTTTCGAAATGGGTAACTAGATTACGAGAATATACCGCGACATTTGCTGCTTACCAGGACTAACTGTAGGGAAATACTAACGATAATTAATAACTGGGCATGTGAGCGTAAAGTGCGCAGGGCAAACGGCAGACATTTTACTGTAGTTAGATCGCCTGACTGCGTATTCCTTGGTATAGGAATATTTCTAATTTCCTAAAAAGACTCTTATCACAGTTAAGGAAGACATGGGGCAAACTACATTTCATCTAATCACTGTAAGAACTGCATGAGAAGTCCTTAAGGTTACGGCAGACGTTACAAAGCGAAAGTGAGCAAAACGTAACTTTTGATGCCCCTGCAGGCAAAAAGTGAGCGAGAGTCGGTGAAAAGAAAATGTCGGTACCCATCACATTGCTGGTGTCGGCAATGAGGAGAGCGGTATGAAGCATTTCATTAAACCTCATTCAATTATTCACGCCTACGACGGATAGAAAATCATGTTCGTGAACGTACGACCCCAATAGGTACAACCCCAATAACGACCCTTATGCCATTTTCGTCAGCATCATAACGCTCTTCGATATTATACCGATATTATATATATACGATAACTAACTATCGATGTTTTAGAAACGTTCTAAACTAAAGACGATAAAGTTCACAAACGATGGTGAAAGAAATTCAAAATAAGATACATTTGTCGCGAAAAAATGTAAAAATATCGAAAAATAGAAATAAATTATTACGTTAATCAGTACTTTAGTAGTGTTGTTTTTTTATATCCGATGCCGTTATTATAGGAAAGAAGATCGCTGCGTCTAATTTTAAAAACACTTCTTGTGCTTCTGTATGGAAAAATTACACAACGACATAGTATTGTACAATCAGAAAATGTATTAAACTTTTGTTACATTACATTTAGACTGTACTAAGTCTAATACTAGTCACTTTTTTCAGGGACGGTGTTTAGGACCTTTTGGATGAGAGCCGTGGCCGATGCTGTAAGCGTTATTGCAGACATAATAAAAAAAAAGTCGAAAGCTACTAATTATACTTAGCGAGAGTAGGAATACATACAATTAATCAATCAGCGCATAAGAATTACAAGCTCATACATACATACATACACACAAATTCAGGAATCTAGAAGGGAATGACGTTCTTATTGGCTTAGTAGTTTTACAATATCCTCCGCTATTATATAGATCACAGATAGATAATGCTCCTTTTCGACCGAGGGACATACTTACAGATAGCGTTTCTATAACTTTTTGGCTTATTTCGCCAAAAAACGGTGGTATAAAATACTGGTAGTCCTGAAAGGGTCATTGCCAACCCGATGAGTGCCTCACTGGGCTGAGAGAAGAATGGCAATACCACTAGGAAGATCGAGATCAAGAAGAAAATAACAGGTAAGATCAGGTTCACCTAGAACGAGGAACGAAATCATCACATGATTATAACCATAGATATGTTTTTTCAAAAGTCGAGTCTTGGCCAACAAAAAATATATTTTTTTCGCCCCAAAACTGGACTTTTTGCATCTTTCTTATCCTTATGAAATATCCTATGAAATAGAAAAATTAAAAAAAAATCACTTAAAAGCTAAAAAACGACTGTAGCTCTACTAAACCGCTCATAAAAATTTGGGCTTTTGAGGTTATTCACGGCCTATTAAATATCGAATATTGTATACTGTCTTAACAATAGGCATACCTGAAAGAATATTGCTAACAGAATCGGTTTTTTTTTATTGATCTCAAGAACGACGGGTTTTATGAGTATGAAATGGAAATGGTGACAAAGACTGAACATTTGAAAAATATCAAGTGTAAAAGTAAAAAAAAAAACGATATATACTTTTTATACGTGCTTTAGATGCCTTCAGCATGGGACGAGCTATCGAGTGGGCCTACAGTGAGTATTTGATGGTGAATAGAGTCGAGCTCACGGTAGTGGAAAAATCAAAATTAATTTAAGGAAAAATGCGCGAACATTTTTTTAGCTCAATACTAAATGGCTTATCGAATTTGATATTATCGTAGACACTAGCTTCGGTGCTAGACGCGGTTCGAAGGAACGCCTCGACTTCACTTGTAGATTTTAGGACTTGGCACGGAAAAAAAACCGACTGACCCGAAGCTATATATGGAAAAAATATTGCGGAACTTATAATATGCAACTCGAACATCTACATCATAGTCATTCATAATCACGGTAGACCCAAATTATTTCATTTTTATGGCAATCAATTGGCAAAATAGACTGACGCAACGACAGCTGGGGCAATTTTAGAAGCTTCTTACCTTGATTGGCCGCTCGAGCTTCGGCTCTTTGTAGCGGAGCCAAAGCAGTCCACCAACCGAAAGCATAATAAATAACGCTTCACTGAACGCCGTGTAGTTAATCAACACAAATACGTCTGTATTACCCAGGTAGACCAAAGAAAGTAAGCACTATAAGGAACAAAGGGAAAGGTACCATTACCGAAGAGTGGCAATGCGTTTACGTAAAGATAAATAACACTTTCTGTTGTAATAGGCGTCAAAACATGTTTTGCAAAGTACAAATTCAATATTATCTAAAGGCGTATGCTGTTAAACAGCCTTGTATCTAAACCTGGTGTCTCGATTGTTTTCGAAAATCTTCATTAAAGACAGAAAAACGGCATCGATCGATCTTGACAAGCGGGTACTTCTGTCAAGATTGCACCTGCCCATCGTAACATAGTTAAGACAAGAAACGGTTAGTCGTTGGGCCGAGACCAGATCATATTTGTTAGACTATTGGAGCTAGTAACTAACTTTTTAGGAATAGAAAGAGCTTCGAACTTCATTTGATCACCACCTAATTATAAGAATGTGCCTTTTGACCTAACCTACCTAACAAGAATCATACGCACCACCTCAAGAACGTCTAAAAAGATACCACGAATTACCTAGGTCAAGCAAATGTTCATACTTGTCAATTCTGCACTGACTTTTTTGTGCTTAGCGTATTGCTGCACCATTGCAAATGGCTAAATCCATTTCGTCCCGGAAAAAGATTCCATCTACTACTTCGAGCGCATACAAAAACTTTGCGTCGCGCCATTCAATGAGCCCTTGGATCTATAAAGTACGCGCTTCCAGTTGTCGGCAACCGCAAGCAAGCATTGCCTATTGCGATACGGCAGTAACTGTTTGAAAATAGGTTCATACCATTTACACACAGAACGGATGAACGGATCTATCTCAAATTTTCAAATAAAGCATTTCTGCGATACGCATGGATGCATCATTATCCACGGCGAAATTGACAGTCTATATACTGTTACACATGCATGGGTTGACCTTGTGGTAAGCTTGACACTATCAGCTATTCATCTCAAGCCTCATCTCGAGGATTCATCTAAGCAAAGTGTTGTGACGTTTGAATGGCGTCTCTCTATTGTATGGCGGCGGGAGACACTGGAGGCAGTCACACGTCGTGTTTGCACAAGGGCGACCCATGAGATTTCTCCCTTCATAGCTACCTCTGTTATGATGCTTTTGAGGTACAAAGATTAGGTACGCAAAATAGCTCGGCCCAGGAAAACCCCTCAGAGGTTTTGCTTTCATCGTACAGCACATACGACGAGGACCCTTGACACTAACGATAGAAAAGTAAAGGGCTTTCCCAAATTCCAGCGGCAAAAATACGTCAGGGCCCGTTTAGACTTTGTGTGTTCGCTCAGTGTCGCATAAAACGATGGCCATTCATAGATACAGGTTGATAGACGTAGAAGACTTTCATCGTAATATACGGTCTGGGAGAAAGTGGCGGGCAAGTGTTTTACCATGCATTTCCAGAATGGTACCGCGTTGTATGATTAATATTGTACCAACCCTCTAGAATAAAATAAAGCAGATGTTCACTCAAGCACAGCCTGACACAGTTACTTTCGTTGACAAAACTCGCTCACGTGTGTAGATCACAACTAGACTTTTTGACGCCCGTAGATGACATGACGCATAATTTCCAGCAGGTCTCAGTGAATCGATTGGGCAACTCGATAGTGGCTATCAAAAACCTAGTATTTAGCGTTAAAAAAAAAACTGAAAATTGCCCCAACTCTGTGACTCGGGGGGCAAATTTCCAAATATCATGTATATGCGTACTATATTATAATTTCAACCTTTTATACAGTATGTATGTAGTGTATGCCTTCGTTAAAGTAGGGTCGGCTCTAGCAGTACTGTTTGGCGAGAGTCAAGATTACACCGAAGAAAATGGGTCGAAAATATGATTCTTATGTTGGATGCGAACAGACTTTTATACATTGCGTTTGTTGCATCTCTTTCGTTTAATACATGCATCACCTGATCGTGCAGCGTTATCGCTGTTATTATTATCGTATTTTTCAATTTTTTTTTTTCACAATTACCACACATTTAGTAAACTTACAGGACTATCAGAGCTACCCTTGGCATTGACATCATGTAAAGGGCGACCAGGAGCATCAGTCTACATAAAACTCCTCATCTGATCTGCTGCGTAACTGATGAATGCAGATTTAAGTTCATCAGGCTAAAAAATATCGGATTAACTAACCAGAAAGATGAGCGATGGCGCAGGGGTACAACAGCTAACATTGATCATCGAGATAAACTCCGGTAAATGCCCTTGACGTGCTCCGACAAAGAATAGCCTACAAACACGTATTGCTTTCTATAAGTGAGAATATTAGAAAATGATAAACGTTGACTGACACTTACTACCATACTGAACCTAACTGTAGGGCTAAAAACCACATATGGACGCCGTACAATTAAAACAATGCTGTCCCATGTTTTCAATAATATGTAGTAATAGCTATTAGGCAAATTGTGTGTTAGACAGTATATTTTGAGCATTACAAATATACTTACATGACTCCATATAAAATAGTCGAAAGGTAACCTGAATATCTTCCTATGGATGATATTACTTAATAGAAATAAGACGTCGATAATGATGATAGTAATACATTATATTCACTTTTCGAGCGTATACTTCATTATAAAAACATGTCACTGGCTTTAAAAAAGTACAAAATCAGACTGACCTAGAACTGGCAAAGATACCGCCGTTGAGACCCCCGAACGTCGAAAGAGCAACGGCAACAGGGATGATCCAAGCAAATGACCCTAAAGTCCGTTCGCCAAACGTCTATCGAAAATGTTAAGCCATACGAAGAGAATTTACGTAAACGCCGATCACAGGTAGAGACTTCTATGTATAGGTTTCGTTTATAAACGGGAACGATTTTATCTTCGTACTAGCTATCTTATAGTGTTATCCATATAGATATAATGAAGACGCAGCTTTTCCTGGTTCCGTTTCTCATTAACGGTTTTGATAGTAGAAATAAATTTGGGCCCAACATTTATAGAAGCCCCGTCCAGGAAGGATCATGTCATTACCGAGGAGTACCGGCTCGACTAAAAGCATTTGTCCACTACAGATTGCAATCGGCGACGGTACTTAACGATAAATGAACAGCCCGAATAGGGATAAGTGTTCCACTTCTATACAAACAGACCCGAAAAAACATTTTTTTCTTTTGGAAAGAAACGCTTCGAAATTTCGGGCCAGTTCGCCACCTAAAGATGGATGTTTATAGAATGGATATCATCTATGAGTACATAATGAAAGGGAAGAAGCTATATTTATAAAACATCTTCTATTGTACCCTATCATAAAGCATCATAAATGTTACAAATTACGTTTCCGTATGATACACTCATTTTATATCCTGTACATTGTTATCTCTAGAACGTCCGACGTCCTATTTACCACAGCGACGGCGCTTGCAGATCGAATCTCATTCGTGGTCAAAACGATGAAATAGGCGACGTTTGCAAGAAGGTAGACCAATGTCACTATGGGAAGCGAAATATAGATGCCGTAAGGTAAATTTCGAAACGGGTTCTTTAATTCCTCTGTAACGAAGTTCAGATAATTCCTGCAAATCGGCGTAAAATGAATAACAATCTATCGAACAAACAGGCTAATTACTCGTATAGACACACAAAAGCTCAGTAGGTTCAGCGACTCTTGCTCGAACGAGCTTCTGAAAAATGTATAATACGACGAATGTAATAGAAATACGAAACAAAAAATACTCTGCGAAAGATTATCAACAATAAACACAACAAATCATGAGTGAATTTACAAAAAAGGCTTCCAGTTAGAAGTAACGTTACTATCCAGTACTATAATCACATACTATTTCTCATGTAAACCTAGCTCTGTACCGTCCTGTGTATATATACTAAAGGAAAAATTCATAGTTTATACAAGCAATCATTTCATAGTCAGCTACGAAATATCAGGTAGAGCGTGTCAGACAACCGTACCAGTTGCGGAACGTACCAACCAGCATACGAGAAGAGACCGGAGTAGAAGGCAAGACAAACGCTTCCTGGGCTATATACTGTCCCCTCCCATAGACGATCAGTGAGATTGACAGTGTTGCCTAAAAAAATCATCTCGTAGCCGCCGATAGCGATAATAAGGCAGAGCGCCAGAATCTAACGTAGATTGACGCACACAAAGATCAACAAAGTCGCTAGTCAACAGCATGATCGCAGAAATATCAAGCCAAGTGTCAATATATGGCTACAGGTCTTGAGATGCAATAACATATACAAAGACCAATGAAAGACAGACGAAGACCACCTGATACTATTGCCAAAAAATTTCCGTTTCGGTGTTCAAAGTATACAGAGCGCAATTTCACTTAAAGACAATATAAATGTAAATGCTAGGTTATGACGTAGTATTTATGGCTAGCTAAAGAGAATTAAAAGAACATTTAGGGGGCACAAAAAGATACAATTTAATTATAACAAAATTACTACGCTAAATAGTTAGTATAAGGAGATAATCAACATCCTTATCATGCTTAAATTAACCTCCAGTTGCGCATACAAGCATTTCGTATTCATTTACCTTGGCGAACATAAGGGAATCTTGCACAGCCATAGCCAATTTTACATTGTAGCAATTGATGAATGTCAGTAAACCTGGAACCGGCAACAAGTTATTATATGCTAGATTAAGTTCTCAGACTTCGAAATGTGTTTTAATTTAAAGAAGTATTTGATTTTCATTTTATGAACTTCAAACGAAATTCGAAGAAAGCTATCTCGGAGCGAAGTATTGCTTCCAAGCTAAGCAGCTGCCATGCGTACGGTGCACACTGCGACTCTGTGATACATTTTGCAGCGAAGGGGTAAAAAAAAGTCTCGAAAAAAAAGGCTAAAAATGAATATAGATATTTTGGGCATATTCGTATTTAAGGTACCGTTTCGTCTGCGGAGGTTTTTTACGACAGTTTATAGAATTCGAAGCACAGCTGCGTGAGTTCCTACGGGCTTCGTTTAAGCAGCTTTCTGAGAAATTTTCTTTCATCTGTGTGTTGCTAAGTGCACGTTACCAACTAAATAAGTATCTAGAGAAAAGTGTTTATAGAACGTTGTTTTTAATCGGACGCTAAACGCTGAACTGATTTGGCGAAGAACTCTAAAACGAATGCGTGAGACACGCCTTGTTTTTTCCATTGTACAGGTAACGTAAGCAATAGACTTTGGTTCGTTCGGTCGCTTAGTCACGCTGATATCACGTTTCTATTGTAATTGATTATAGGAAACCCGTGCTTTAGTTGAGATTATAGTAATACTATACGTCCATTTTAGTCTGCACACTTGACACCGCTAGCCTTTTCTAGGGACTCCTGGGCAGATTATTTGATACATCCTCTGGTTAAGCGAGACTCCATCTTTGATTCGTACAACTTCTCGTTAACAACTGATCTAGCCGATGTCAACTTAAACCAATTGTATCTCTGCTCGTCAGATATTTCCATTTGATTTTCTTCTAGTACGATTTTCTGTGTAATTTATCCCAAGTATTCATAGCCAAAGAAATCTTGTACTCGCCAACTGTGCTATTTCATCCCCGTACAACGTATCTATATACAGTAATTTCGCAGCGGGCTAACAAACCAATATGGTCAAGCGACGGACGCACAGCAGATGCGGGGGCATCACCGTAATAGCTTTGGCACTTGATTGGAGACAACGTAATGGTGGCCCTCCAGTAGCACACCAATACTGACGACCCGTTGCTGATGACCCGTTTCAGCCGGTGAAAGCTGTCTAGCCACTGGCAGCGGCGCAGTCGCGGGCGAGAGATAATGCACTGACCCGCCAAAAACGACAAAGACTATAAAAATTACTGAATTATTTAGCGTTTCGTTTTTGTTTTTTGTACGCACCCCGAACAAACGATAAAAGACAAACGAGTCGTCGAGATATATTGCAGCTTAAATAATGAACTGTTGTATTTAAGTGGGATTAGTACGTTTTAGTGGAATACTTTTTTCAAGATGAATAATACAGGCTTATTTGATGGTCGCTCACTATGGACTCAGACGTGGAGGCCGTGAAAAGATTCTCCTAGTCGTTCAGCGTATATTGTTAATCGGTGGTAGAGAATCTCTGTGACGCTTTTAATGACGTGTTTGAAAAAGCTAGATTACACAATATCTACTAGCCCGACCAATTTGGCCTTGTATTGGGTAGATACAACTGTAGGGGGGCATGCCACGAATAAATCATTTCGCCAACACCGAAATTTTATAACGAAAATCTAACCCAAATAACTTTCTGAGACTGCTATGCTGAGCTACGTAATCGTATGAAAGAGAGATATACTAACTGAGATAATGCTATAGTCGATCTCCTTAATAGTTTCGATTGTGGAATGATCGGTAGACTATTGCTCGGTACTTACGAATGGGAACCTGGGTCCTAAGCGGAACTAGCCTGGGCGATTGCACCACTCACCTTGGAGGTATTATAGGTGACGTAGTGGTGCATTGAGAACCGATCCAAAGAATTATGGGTAAGTTATTTGTCGAATCCACCCATAAAATAACACTGCCGAATTTTACTAGGTGATATTTGCGCAGTTTACCCCAACTGAAGACTCGCCGAAGCCTGAGGTGACGAATAAATGCTTGCAAGAGAACGACGGTTCTAAGTACTTTGAATTCAGTGAAACGCACCTATGAAAGTGTATCTTCAAATGCTGTCTCAACCGCTGGATTTACTGACTTCTTATAAATATACATTTTATATATGAATTGTACAGGCCGAAGGCCTGTATACCTTATATTTTTCTAATTGTATTTAAAAGATATTGCCTGAACGACTTCAACGTATCTGCGAAATATATAATTCAGCGAAACTGAACAATTACCGTGGCCCCACGGCCAGAGGGTAGTTTACTAACACTTGCGATCGGTTACCCGTTTAGAATCGATCGCAATCTTAATATAATACCAGCTTGCACGACCTGCTGAGAGCAACCGCTCTCAGTTATGGCCTATTGATTTCGATATTTGTCTTTGCTACGTACTATGAGTGCCAGACGATCTCCTAAGAACCGCCAACGGAAACGAACGAAAGAAAAACTGTCAATACGTTTATTCCACTCGTTGAGCCAACAAGACCGGTTGCTTACTCCAAGGTTGTTATTGGTTCACCTCGCCGATTCAGTACTTTTTAAGCACCCAAGTCAAGAGCGAACTCTTATGATTAAGGACCTAAGGCGCAGCGTGAGGTCGATCAACGCAATACGCAAACCTACCCGTACGAAAATGATTCGACTGTTTGCTACACGGGCCGATCTAAATATAGCTACTGTATAACGCAAAGTTTATCTGATAGTGAAAAAAAAAATAATATGCAGATTCCTATTGTAATCCGAGTTCCGAGTTCCGAGTTCCCTTTATTTCTTACATTGTACATATACTGATTATTGTAGTGACCATTTACCAAGCGGGGATGTCTCCTTTTTCTTTATTCATTGGCTTCAAATCCAGCCTCCAACCCCAAATGAAGTGCACACACTGAGGCTGTGGACGAGATGAACTTTGCATTATACAGAAAAAAAAATCTTCGCAGTATAGCGGCATAGAGCCCACTTTAGCATGCACAGCCTGTGCAATTACGTTAACTAGCTAATATCGCTGATAAACCTATATATTTATTAATTTCTAATTTCTTATCACTTTATCTTAACAGTAAAGGCCATAAGGTCTTAGATAATACCGCCATTAAATAGTGCACGTACGTTCGCTAATGATATATTTACGCAGGTGTTGATAAGTGAAGATTTAAGCTAAACATTATAACGTCACACCTAGACTGTATAAGTGAGCCTGACACACCGCAAACTTGAAAGGTAGCTTTGAAAGTTAAATTTATACTACTCAATTGAGACCTTAAAAACATTTAGAGCTTATTTCTACATTTTGAGGGTATTTGCAAAGATCTTCCGTAACATCCTGCGTGGTTGAATTCTTAAATACGATTGAAGAACGACCGATGTTAGATATTCAAAAAGGAAATCTACAGCGAAGCTTATTTGGGCGTCATTCGTAAACGTCGTTAAAGCGTACGATGGGTTTTTAAGCTTAAACCTTTGGAAACCCCGTCAGCATTTTTAACCAGTTTATCGGCTTATTCACGCAGCATTTAAGGATGTCGAGATATCGTCCTAAATTTAAAGAATAACATTTTACCATTAAGATTGATGAGCGAGTTTGGTAGAAGTCGCACCCCATCAGCTATCCTTCCCCTCTACTTTATATTCGACACTAACAACAAGGACAATACACTCATACATGTGCTACTTAATTGCTGGATGAACCATAGCGAGAGGAGCAAAAGTACTTTTGTTAATTAATTAACGGTTAGAATATCATAGACACAGACGTGGAAAGAACATCTCGAAGCACACCCACAAACGACAAAAGCTGTAAACAATCATTTGGCCATGTCCGGTGAATCGCAAATATCGACAAGCACCGCTAAAATATAGTTGGCAAAATCTAGGCTCTATCTGGCATTGTGCACAGGCCGCGTGACCAACAAGGGCACCCACAGGTAGAGAAAGCCAAGCAATGGCCCATAGATTTGGCTGATAAAGACATAGTCGCCTCCGGATTTCGGGGTTACAATTCAACATAGCACATTGCTCTGACCAACGAGAGTAACCCACATGACGGCCACACGATAATTGACATTTCTGAGGAGCTAAGATATCGCATAACTCCAGTGGGTGACACAAAGATTCCTGCACCTATAATAACCCCCACAATGATTCCGACGGCGTCGAGAAGACCCAGCTCACGTTTCAGCTCAACATCATGCCCCACTAATTTTCGATTTGTTTCTTTATCCATTTTCAGTACAAACCATGCTAAAGGTCGTCGATGTTGCCCTTTGTCATCCGCTTTGTCGCCTTGTTCTCTGAGCAGTTGCTTCCCCAAAACGGGCTAGATCTATTACATGTCCACAAAAGTCAGTACAAGCTCAGAGAAATACGAGATAAACACATAACAGACTCTATATTTCGGCTCTTGTAGGTGCAGCTCCAAGTATTTTTCGTTATGCTTAGATGCTTCTATCAGAAAGAAAATTAGGTAATTTCTTTAATGGAAAACAACAGTAGCTAATAGTTACATAAAAATTATACTTTCCTCTTACTCCCAAATTGCTTTGTATAATCTGGTTTATTCTATCATTCCCACCTGTTAGAACACAACTGACTATAATCACCTTGCAGCAGGTGCCAATATTATAAGAGAATAAAGTATGGAGCTCCCCAAACCTCTTCATTTGAACGCGCGCACCTGGACCAAATCGCTTAAATATATTTGCACTGTACTCGCACCGCACCGAAAAGTGGTTCTCCTTGGATTTTTAAGATGGGGAGCATAATACCTGAAGAGGACTTACATTAGGAGATGATTAACACTATCTGGAGTAGCGCGAATGAGCTATCTACACCGGCGAAGCGTCGAAGCACTGTCAGCACTAATACTGAAATTATTACCTCTGAAGAAGTAGTTACAGTGTGTAGATTCTACAGTAGATGGGAGGCTGCGATAGATTTTGATATGGATCTTGGATATGCACGAAGTTGCTAGAAACCTTTGATAAAAGTTTCGCTGACGACATGTTAACTCGAAGAAGACGGATAGTGCGGATTAGGTGGGCAAATAAAAAGATGGGTAGTAAAGGAAGCCTGCGAATAGTAGAAAACAGGGGCATCGGTGCCCTAGTGCGAACGGCACAGCGCTTCCCCACAACACTGCCGCTGACGGGAACGCCGCACTGTGGGGTAATGGAAGAACTATTCCGGTATAGATTGAGTATTCGAGCTCAAAAAGAAACCAGACTAGACTCGATTACTGTAGCGCACGGGCACGCGGTGTCTGGCTATTGAATAAACGCTTCTCTTGGTCTATGGTCCAAACGTATAGCATCATCATAATAATGACGGCTCCGCTTTTCAAACGAGAGCCATCATATATTATACTGAGGTGGGTAGCTGACATCGATTGAGGTCGAATAGCGCACGTTTCATCCAGCTATAGTGTCTAATGGAAGTTGACGTTTCATGAACGCTAAACAAAAATGTAGGTGTGTCTTCCGTGAAAATACATAAAGAGTGCATCTCGATTCGAGCAGGTTAGACAAAAAATTATTTTGAAGAGAATTAGCCGTACGTGAACGGAAATTTTATGGATTCGCTCGATACTTGAAAACCAATAGTATAGAGACTTCCTGTTCTGTACATTAAGATAAAGTTTTACTAAGTTAAATGCAAAATAACAATCTTGAACTCACATGTTTGGGGATATGATAGAATTCCTAGATAAGTATAGAGAGGCTCTAGGTACATGCTAAGGAACAGTAAACATGGCACCTTAAAATTTAGGTTTGTTTCACCCTGAGATCTTTAAGCTTATTCGCTTACATCATACCTAATATAGGACGAACTTGCGTCATTGTTACCGAATCACGCAGGCACACATAGGCCGAAATCAACTGAAGCCATTTCAAATGTGCTTCTGCATATCTGAGAGGAAACATCGCAAGAAATAGTCACATAGATAATACTATGTACAGAGTTATCGGCCGAAATGTGTTATTCTTTGGCGCCATGACGGCGAGCCCAATTAACCAAGACGAACAAAATGGCCGCTTCTAACATACAAGACCTCGCCATCAAAAGGCGCTTTACCCTATGTGTCTTAGGATCACTGTGTAATTGACGATAGTGTAAGGTACATATATAGTAACATGAAAAACGATACGTACAACCTTTATCTGTCACTTGTGAATACGAATGATCGAGAAAAGTGGACCAACTTTTAAGCGCCTTCTGAAGTGTTTGCTTATAACGAGCTCTTAGCGAGTCGTTGCTCAAAAAGCCTACTGGGATCAATTTTCTCTTTTATTGTATTCAGTACCCATAGACCCAATAACAGCTTTTCTAACAATTCACCTAAAAGAATAGTTATCGAAGGCCCTTTTTTGAAAAAAAACTCGTTGTGCTAGGGTGTATCGAGTTTAAATTGACGTCAGCAGTACAATACAATGTGTCCTTTACTAAAGGGGTTTAAAAAGTAATTATATATATATAAGTATAATGGTATAAAGTAGATTTCTTGTGGACTAATGCTGTGACAGATTATTGTTAATGCCGAGAGTGGCTAGTCCCTCTCTTTTTTTTATACATGATAAAGGCATCTTCAAATGGAAGCTTGAGATCTTGACAAAGTAGAATGTACAGAAGAGAATCCAGACAAAAGCCCAGCTGGCTTCCGAACAAAGCCTTTCCAAAGGCTGGTAGGGAGTATCCTATATTCACTCTAAATGAACGGTCCGTAACACAGCCGCAATGCCAGTTTATTATTAGGAGATTCATACCATGAATTCGGCAAATACCTTGGCCAGCTCCTTAAAGTTGATTGGGCGTAGGCTGTGAGGGGATCTGGCCCAAGTCTCTGTTGAGACCGTCAAGTTTTTTGAACATCCGTTTAGGAACAAAGTCAATGTCAATGAGGCATGTAAAGACCTGGTAATGAAGTCAGTCCCATTTGAAACAGAATTCTGCAGACGATCAGTCGCCAGTGAGCCGTTGGTAACGAGTTAAACAATCCCACTGCACATATGTGGCAGTTCTACTACATAGAACAACATAGCTTTTGAATCTTCTATATCGGGCCTTATCACGATGAGACGTCATGAACCGGTTGTCATACTTTACAATTCTTTCGAACGCCTTGCATAATAGGTATCTACTGAGTATTAGAGGCTTAGCGGAGCAATAACCCACTTCGTGTGGGCCGTCCACGGTGATCTGTAATTAGCTGCAAGATTCCGTCGGGATCAGGATATAGGTGCGCGATCGATTTTGAAAATTTCGGCCAAGTTATTCAAAATGACGGGAGAGAACGTAGTCGAAACTAAACACACTACTTCCTTCCAGTTTGTGAATATTAAGTCAAAATTCTAGTAGTCCTCATAACGCTGCTAAACAATATAATTTAATAAGTAAACATTTAAAAAATAATAATAGCTCTTTTGGCATTTCCGTCCGATAGACTTAAATCGCCAGCAAGAACCACAACAATCCTTGCCTAACATAGCCCGTCTACAAACCCAGAAAATTATTCCATACGATAAATTGATATAGGCGATCGGACCGACAGGTGAGAAATAGGCACACGTCAGCCTAATTTGCTTGATTATGTCATAAAACTATCAATGACACCTGTTTCAACCATCATATTAGTGAGATTAGTTTCACAAATGGTAATATAGTTACCCCCCGAGGTGCATACATCTCCGCCTTCGTTATTGGACCGCTTTTTTTCTTTCTTATAAATGCCGCCAGACGACAACTCGGGTAATGATACTTTGCTATCAGTGGGACCTGGGCTATACTAAGCTTTTCAATAAGGCAGGAAAAGTGCATTGCATCTTTAAAAAGAGTTGCCACTTTAACAGTCAGGTACTGAGAGGGATGCATTTACGACAAGTGACTTGGCGCAGTGTATGTAGGCTGGTGTAGTTTTAGAATTTTTATGGTCGTGGTCCCTACATTCGTAAATACGTTAACGGTAGCTTAAGCAAAAACTACTGTTCCAGATCTAACTGGAACACCTTTCAGAAAGTAACAATTTTGCTATTTTTAATTTAGGATTAGTGAATCTGTTGAATTCTAGACATATAATTGTACGTGCACGGGTTGCTTGATACGCGGTTAAGAAGCCTGGCAGAATAAATCGGAACTATATTTTTCAAATGGATTATTATCTGTGTTTGACATCTTTTACTTTCAAATGTTCCATGCTTCTGATAATAATGATCCTTATTATTTTATCAGCATTAATGCAAAAACTCAACTTCGCATACTGCGAAGTCTCCTTCGGTGTTGCGGTGACCTACGCTATTTACAACTTAATGTTTCAGTTTCGTAAAATTAGTAATAATTTTATATGACTGTAAACTCACAATGCCACACTACTGTCGGTATTGGTGTTCGAGTCACTTGCGTGACTCCCGTCTTGCCTTGCCGTATTTTACATTGAACTATAATATAGGTACTACGTAGTAGATACAGCAGTATATAGTTATATTCTTGTTTTTACGTCTGGTGCTTAAGCCGTTACCTATCACTCCAGACAAGCCTTGCTGAAGTTAACTGGATTTTTCTAAAGAGCTATAGTTAATATATGCATGAGAAACCGCCACGGGATGGGACAAATCAAAACGGCACTGCGACAGAAGATTACCACTCAAATTAAATTTCGGAATTTGCCTTTGTTTATTTGTCAGATCACTTTGTTTTAATAATGATTTGAGAAAAGTTTGGTTGTATCTTATTAAACTTACACAGCACAAGAGCGGCAACGAGTCGAACCGCATTTTCCGGCACGTTCAGTTGCTCGCAGTCGCTTCCCGCTAGAAAAGTTATGACTGGTTGGAGGATGTATTGTGCAAAAGTAATTCCTCCGATAGCGTTCGACATAGGATAGACTACGACCAAGCAGATCCAAAGGTACAGGAAGGCGGGCAGCTCACCAAACATATAAAGAATGTAAGCATAGTCAGCTCCTGATTTAGGTATGGCTGTGCCCAGCTCAGCATAGCACAGAGCTCCAATAGTGCAAATGGCTCCCGTTAAAAGCCACACAAGCAGGCTGAGGCCCGGCGAGCCAGCGTACCGTACCACACCGGTTGGTGAGACGAAAATGCCCGATCCAATAATGCCACCGATTATCAAGCTCGCGCCGGACAATAGCCCTACCTGAGGCTTAAGCGTCGTTCCACCTTGCGGATCAACCGTTTTCAACATTTTCGTTTTATATGAACGCAAGGGTATAGTTTCTGCGACATGATTCTGATGTGTCGCACTCATCTCATATAACACAGTAAAAATGAAACTCGACCAACGGAAGTTATTCGGTGCTGTTCGATTAGATTCAAACTCAGTCCTAATCTCGGTCTGGTTCGCAAATAGAAGCTATCACAAACACGAACACTGTTTCCTCTCGAAACCTTTTGATTTTGCTACTTCTTCCTTTTTTTTTTACTCTTTTAATTTTTAACTCTAGTTAGTGATCAACGGCAAAGGTTTGCGCAGAATACTTATCTACAGAACGCCATAGCCGAGGAACTTCTCGGTACGTGCTGGGCGAATCGCTTCGTGCCGTCCAGTTGAGAACAGTATCCAATTTTCGCTCTCCAGAAGGATTCACTGACAGTCACTGGCATTGGCCTGACTGCTGAATGTTATTTATAACATGAACAGCACAGTGGACCTATGGACGATCAAAGATAGGGGCAGTTATAAAAGTGTCATTAAGGAAGTCATTCATGTAGTTAGTGCAGTTCGTGCAACCTTAGAGCACAACCTAGCCCAGGGAGCGTATCCCTAGGCTAGGTTGTTGTATTCAAAAGATGCTTCTTCATTGAAGTCAGAGCAGTGACACTACATGTGAAGGAAATAATGCTTATTATAGTTTTTGGTTTTTTAATCCATTTAGCGAATCGAGGGACTGTCAGGCTCAGACATTTCGTCAGCAGGGACAGTACTGTACTTTGGGACACGTTGTAACATCTAGGTTCGAATCCGGGCATAAACAGACTTCGTTTCATACGGAGAACCAGCCGTCTGGTGGAATGCCTAACGACGACACCAAACGTAAAACTCGAAACATAAAGGAAGCCAGCAGAAACAAATGGTGTAGCAGTGGTCGGGGTAAATCTTTCCTTTTATTTTTGTTAGATAATTTTTTGTAGCATGCTACTCAATAATGACCCGCTTGTCAAAAGATAATAGCTGGCAGACAGTATAAAAACGGGAGTTACAATGTGTATACGCTTATTGAACACATCAACGATTAAAACTCTTTTTTTGGCTTTTGCTTTTTTCCGCAATTAAACCACGTTTTGAAGTTCTTTCAGCTCCAGCGTTATAACTACCTTAAATTCAATGATAATTTTCATTGAACGTTACAACTTTATTAAATGATAATCTTGGTAAGGTATAAAGACTGGGCCCTCGCACGCTGCCCTCTGAAGGAATTATTCCTTGCCTGAAATCCACTAAGAACAGTTCCGGTCGTCTGCAACAAATTTCCCACAGAACATTCTATTTTGTAAACAATCACTATGAAGTTTCGAACATTGCTCAGCGGCCAGGCAGGCTGATTGCCGCTTTCGCGTTTGAGACTGAAACCCATGTCTAGTACAATGAGTGCAAACGTTTATGAAAAAGTGACACATCGGGTTCCCACGTGCTGGCTTTTATGAAGTCGTATCACAGAGGGAATCTGATACCTTTTTCAAATCTTCAACAAGTGATCTCGTGTCTGTGGGTGTGAGATTATAACTTAACGCTGCCTATTCGCTCTCATAAAACCTCTTCGTTACCCTTGTATTATTATTGCAAGTTTCTAGAAGTAATTGGAATTCTCGGCTAGTGCGCTCTCATATAGGCATGTGTGAAAATAAATCAAGTAAACGACAATAAAGGCTCTAAAGTACGATTTTGGAATAAATTGAACGAGACGTCCCATCGTAGCAAAGTGTACAAGGCTTTAACTTTTTTGAGGATGATCTGTTTAATGTCAATGAAAATAAAGATGTGTTTTAGCTTGGAAAAAGTGCCGCCTGGCATACTTGGGTTTCGATAGTGGCGAAAAAATTTTTAATTTTGTTATTTTCTGATGACCGCCCAACATTGGAGACGTATATTCGATAATTAAGCCCACTGCATGAACTTACAAGCCGGCGGTGATATTTTTTGAATAATATTAAATAATTATAATTTCTACAGTGATAATACATAATTTGCTATTTACATTTACAGAATATTCTGGCATACAATTGTTTGCATGGCTATGAAGTCGCTTGTTATAAAATGTAATAATATTCACTAAATTAACCTTTATGAAACTGCGCGCTGCTTCTGAATTAGTTAATCAAACGGGCAACAAATGATTAGCTGCTCCAACAATGCTCCGTTTTTACTGTCTGGTTCCTCTATATAGCAATAACGTCGAACTCGGCGTTAGCTACTCCTAAGCATTTATGGGTCTGACGGAAGCGCATTAGGAATAGAAAGAACTGCAAGAATAATTAAGCATAAGAATAAATATGCTAAGGTTTGCCGCACTTAATTCGGATGCTAGCACCGATTCCGATGCTGAAGAAGGCGGAGGTCAGCAACAGGTGCAAACCCGTGAAGCACAAGAGGGTCAGGCTGCTGCGCTATACAGGTGAATGATTTTCAGGGTATAGATGATTTGATACAAGAATACGTGGAGCCCAGTAGCAGTGATATGGAATATTCCTAAATGTGCAAAGCTCAAGCATTCAGAATGCTTCATTGGTGCCATTTTATGAAAAAGTAATAACAGCTGAAGCTTAAACACTAACTTCTGCAAAATTCATATTCCAGGGATGCGCTTTCTGAATTGGCTGCAGAACGCACGGCTGATGGCGTCGCAAAACTTCGACAGCTTCTCAGGCTTGACTACGTGAACGAGGAAGACCCCGAAGAATACCAAGGTTTATAATTCACATTTTTATGCTTCTTATGTCTGATTCTGACGTGCGGAAGTAAAATACATGTCATTCATATTTAACTCTAACCTTTTGTTGCTTATATGTCAAGTGCCATTGGCATCGTATACATGTAGAAAGAAAGGGTTAGAAGTATTAGCGACCGCTATCTATTTTTGTTTTGTTTACAGGCATCGGCCCTATGCCAACTTCGCTTCATCTGAAATATTTAGCTTTGAAGAACGCCGGTGAAGCCTACCTTAAGCTCAGTAAACTGCGAAAGGTGAAGCATGGCGTCTTTTTCTTCCTACAATGACGTATCCTACACAGTTCGTGCAAAATAAAAATAAGGCGACAGCCATAATTAACTAACGGAGCTAAACCAGCTATGTTAATTATAATTAAAATACATTTTAATAGGATATGTTTTTGATATAATAGGATATACAGATAATAATATCTGTATCTAAAGGAGTGTAACTTTTCTTATCAATGTTAATTTGATTGACTTCCTTTTCAGGCGGCAAAATTTTTTGTGAAAGCAATGCTCATCGATGGCCGTGATATACCGACTTGGCTAAAAGTAAAGTTAAATTAAATTTTCAACTTAAATTTTATGGTGACTGTTTACGATTCATTTCGTAGTTACTAATTAGCGTGGATGCTTGTTACTCATACTAGGATTGAAGCAGCCTGCGTTACATTTACCTCTTATATTACCTCTCTAGCTTTAAACCTTTAGCGGAGTCGTTAGATGTAAAAACAAGATTTTTTTCATCTCAATGCAATGTCATTTCAGTAAAAACTACTTAGTCGCTTACTTATTAAAAATATTGTTTAGGTTAATAGAAGGTAACTCGAGTACAAGTTTCCCGTTTTTTAGTGTTTTCTCTAACGTAACACAATATGCTACCGACTGTCCCTATCAGTGGTAGGCTTTCTTTGCCTTTTATTAGTATTATGGTATACGTGTAAGCTGATAATTCCTTTATGTGAACACATCCGGTTTAGTTTCATTAGTCATTACAACTGACCTCCACTTCTGCCGGTAAGTTACATCATGGCTTTTGTTATCAGGTGGGTGACATTGGACTTCAGATGTTGAACCTGCAACTGGCCCGAAATGCTTACGAAATGGCCGTTCAGCTAAAGGAGAATCACTGGCAAGCGGTTGATCGTCTGATCTCTGTCACATATATTATCGGTTAGTTGATAAATTGTTTAATAATTAACCATTTTACTCTTTCCATAAAGTAACTATCAACCAGTTTTTCTTCCAATTACATAAGAACACGGGACTCTTCTTACTCGCGTATACATTTACATGCTGTGGTTCTGGAAAGTGCATTACACTTTTTACCTCTTTTACCTCTATTCGTTTCTTTAGGTGACTATTCACATTGTCTCGAATGGTGCCGTCGAGCGATAGCCGGTGGATCTCGGTCTGCAAGGCCGATCGTTCTTGCCGACCGAATTTTTGAGGAAATTCCTTTTATTATCGAGATGTATCCAGCTGCCTACCGAATTTGGGAGGACGTCCTGCAAACGTGCAACATTTCGCCTGAGGTACGTTCGTTAAGGTTCTTACCCTTAGATAACATATTCTTGCGTATAATTGAACTTTTATTTACCAAAAGATTAGCTTCTGCGAAGTGTGTATGCAGCTTCTATATATATATATATATATAGGGTTTTAAACTTAAAAATATCTTGGACAGTAAGTCGACGCCATGTGTCTGGAGCAGCGTGTGAAAAACATTGTCAATAATTTTACTGCGTCATTATTCGCAATTACATTGTGAAATTCTTATAGGAATCCGAGGAAATCCTTGAAGAGTGTGAATCCATTCGAGCTGAACGACAGGATTTCCAAAATTGGCTAGATGAACAGGATAGGAGTTCGCCACCGTTAAAATTGAGAAAGGTTAGAGTCAAAGTGCACGATCTGATAGAAGACTTGTCGAGTTTGTTGAGTCATGAACATGATTCAGTTTTTGAGTTAGGTCAAACGGCCTGGTTCTAGCAGATGACGCCAAAACCGTTTATTTGTATCTTAATCGCACTTAAGTTATTTTTATTAATAATACGTCTTTTTAAAATAGTTCATCTTAGAATGGAAATACAGAAAGACGACAGCAACCTGTTATTAGAATAATCCTAGAAGCTTTGGTAACTATGAACATATAACTGTGCCTATTTAGGTCATATGCGAACCAACGTGGGCTCAACTTGGTGAAGTCCTTCAAACGCATTACGACAATATTGCTAAATCAGAAAATCCTTGTCACATGGTTGAAAGGTGAGGCATCATGTTCTTTTATTCTTGCCGATAAAGATATGTTAAAAGTTCAGTAATCAATATAACAAAACCGTAGTTTTTTTTTTATAAACATTGACCATACACTGTACTTTTAAGAATTGATTTCGGTCAAGTGGATGCTTCGCGCTCTCTCGTTGAAAAGAAGCGTTACCGCCGGGATTCTTCTTCTTCTGAGGAGGGCGACAATGACGGCGACACCCGCGAAAATGACGACCCCGAGGAAAACAATCAAGTAAGTACTTTTGTTTGACGAGTTTTTCACAATTATCGCTGTCCAACACTTCCGTTTCAAGCGGATCGATTTGAAAAATATCTGAATGCTATTAGAGTTAGCCTTTGCAACATCAAGTAAACTAACACTAATAAAACAATCGTGGAATCTTGTGGCTCACTTTTGCTGCCGCTTGATTACGTTCGTCGTGAAGGATGACGAAGATGGTGCACCGCAGTCTTCTGGATTCGACTACAAACCTATAGATCCCGAGGAAAACAGTGACTCACAAATTAACGATTTATCCGTGCTTATTGGTAAGTATAATTTCGGTTAAATGCTAAAACCATAAGGGATCTGATCTAGCCAAGGGTAATCTATTAGGACATAAACGGCATCTTATGTCCGATCACACAATTGTGTTCTAGTGTCTGCAATAATTGTTTTAAGAGTGTGAGCCCTTTTTGTAACTAAAGTCCAAAGGCTTTAGTTGGTCCTCAAAATGTGGATATTGGGTTCATCGCATGCCAGAGAACTTCTAGAGGCCATTTAGCCGAAATTATGTTTGACACATAAAGGAAGAGGGCTCAGCATGCAAGCAAAACGAATCGCTGGTTGAATCTGTTCAATACATTACTGTTCAATACAACATCCATACTTACCATACTCAACAAAGCTAGAATTCTCTAAACTGTGACTTTTCTATAGCGCCGTCAGTAATATTAGCGTTGAATGTTAACAGCAAATTAACTCGTCTTTCTTACATTAACAACCAACTTTTTGCAGGTGATAATACGCCAACAGACTCTTTATTGGATGACCTGGGTATCTCCGTCGAAGATTCACGATCGCAGCGTCGCAAGCGGGTATTTCAAGACTTCATATCGAGCAACAAACGTCGTTCAGCGCGAAACCGTCAAGGTGGAAAGAAGACTGTGGACCTGAATGTCAACTATCGTGATCTGTTGATACCGTTTCTTCCAACGAGTATTTTTGCTGAATGTCCTGTGATTGAAGGAGAGTCTGACGGAGGAACCAGCGAAGAAAATGGCCAATCCAGTAGTAGTAAGCTAACCTTGCGAACACACCCGGAGAAGGTTAGTATGCAAGGTGACAATAAGGCGTTCACTGAAAATAGATTTGTTCTATGTGAGGTCTCCTAGTAACTACAGACGTTTAAGAATTGCGGTGAGAGACTCGCTCTGCTTTTGTAATATGTGCTTATCGAAACCTCTTCTAGATTATGGATCTTCGTGAAAACGAAACTAATGATGTAAAGGCGTTTATCGCCCGCCACAAGGACAGTCCCGCAATTGAAGTTATGCTGGATTACCTAAAGGTGCTTGCTCAGAAGGACGAATTTCGTTGGCCGTCTGAGCTGAAAGGGATCTTTATGGCGCTTTATGAGAGACTGCGACACAACTATCAGAGGCCGGATGATAATGACACCAGTCGGACAGAAGAGGTATAAGTGAATATATATATAATAAAAATAATAAGAAAATAAAAAAATAATGAAAATGAGTGAAAAGAAAAAAAGTTTTGACAGGAAGAAAACAGACACTTGAAAATACGATTAGACGCATCTGCACCAATGCAACTGTTTGCTATAATACCAAATACGACTAATGAGTGGGTTGGTGATGTTAACCGGTAGGAATGGTGAGGATAGTCTTAAAAATTATTTCAACTTGTTTGTATTCTAACAGTTATGAAAAAAAATCCTTTCTACCTCGTTCTGCAGGTGCTAAGCTGGGCCTGGGTCGAGCTGAACGTATGCGAGCTCTTTCTCGAGCGGTACGTTCAAGACAATCTACGAACGGAACAGGTCGCTCTCGATGACCGTTTTCCTATCACTGAATTCATGCAGGCTATAAGCTTTGTGTGTAAGCAAACCCATCGCAGAGTGGCGCTTAGTGATCGCTGGCAAGTTTTCACCGTAAGAGCATTTCATGTCGAAGCTTGCTTTCTTCTGCATTATGGGGAGATAAGTATGGCCCGCCACCGTTTAGAACAGGTGCGTACAGGAATCAATTATGACCGGTCTGTCATCTTATAGGGCAAACACAACACTTATTTAATATCTACGTATGCTCGCAAGATCTGACTTATGCTTTTTCATGCTTGTGCGCCTTCGATGCTAAGGTATGCGTTGTAATGGAACAAGCAAAGCTGTTTGAAATAAGTAACGACAAACAGCGAGAAACGCAGCCTATTCATTGCGTAAGAGTTGTAAACCTCAAGCAGAACAATTTGATTTCGGCAAAGGAGGCCGCGCAACTACTCGACGGAATCGACCGACTTCACCTTCTAGCTGATCTTGAGAATCTTTACGCTTCTCAGCACTACGAGCGGGTACGTTTGAGTTGACAGTATTAGTTTTCTGTATAAGTTTATTAGTGGAATTCATTTTTATTCTTTCTTATTTGTCATTGTTCATATTTAAGAGAAACTAATTGGTAACGGTATAAGAGACAGTTGCGTTTAGTGGCCACGTAGTAAAGGACAACTTTTATTTGTAAAGGAAGAGTATAACCCATTATCAGCGAACCTTCGGAACGAGATGATCATTGCATATTTTTATCTTCACAGGTTGTCGAACTGATTACCGAGTCGCTCAAAGGCAACAGAAGGGCGGTTCATGCAAAGACAAGCGTCCTTCCACGATATCGACAGTTGCTACTTCTTAATTCTGCGCTGAAACAACTTCAGAACGATAAAGATCACATTTACTGGGTGGAATCATGTATTCATGAGTGTCTGAATCAATACGTGAGAGCTCAATCGCAGAGTATGAAAACAGCGTGGTCGGAAACCACCGTTCAACTGATTGATGACATCTATGAAGTTGTTGAGAAGTCGCCGAATGTCCTCGAAGGTTTAAGTGTTGAAAAAATGTCACGTTTTGCACACACTCTCATTAAGATTATCTCACTCCAAATGGACTTGAGGGAGTCTGTCGAGACCATGGCGATTCCAACTGTTCTCAGCTGGAACCTTCTCTACAGAATAGTGAAGCACGAGGAGGACAAAGTAAGACATAGTAGTACAGTAATTATCACCCATTTGCTTTTCGTACATCTCTGTCGGACTGCATGTGATTTTCAAGTGACTTGCCTGTCTATTATATTTGACAGTAACTATCTATGATATCGAAATTAAATATTTATTTGTTAAGGTCTATTCACATTTGCTTGGTAAAAAACTTTACCCTGCTTTGTTAATGATGTCTTTCTCTTAATGCATTTCAGGTCGTGATGGAAAAGAGTGCCGATAGCGCTATGCCGTCTTCTTTGCTTATGATGTTTACTGCCCACGAGTACTTAGGAAAACGCAACTGGTGTATGCGCAATGACGGCGCCTTTGTTTTCCTTTGTGTTCGAGTCATGACAGAGGAGATGGTAAATTTCCGAGAAACACTCGGTTGTCATCCATTCGAAGAGGACTTGACCGCCGGACTCGAACAATGTTTCCACTGTCTTTTTGTCCCAGACAAGGACAAAACTAAAAAAAAAGGTCAGGTACAGGATCACAATGTGAAACCGCTCAAGCTGACGTGGGAGCACGCCAAATATGTATTCACGTTTTACAAACCTACTCGTCTGCCCGAGTTCGATTCGTACGCTCAAAGTATATCAGCTGAGGCAGAAAGCCTGTTTCGTCGAATTGCTTCGCTCATACCGGCAGAAAGTAACCCGGCAGCGTGCGCCGATCGTATGGCCATTCATATTGAAAGCTCATCAGCAGGACCCATGCCGTACATGGGTAATGATTGCCCCGATAAAGAACTTATTTCCGAACTGTACTATTTGCTTGGGGATTTCTACTTCAAGAATAGGGACTTTGTTAAGGCTAGCCGCCACTACATGCTGGACAGCTGCATCAACCCGCATCGAATAGACTCATGGGCTGGTATGGCCCTTTCGAGAAGTGCTCAAATCGAACAGCGTCTCAATTCATGTGAACTTAAAGGCGAAGGTCCTCAGCTATTAAAGAGGACCGATGGCGCAGTATTCTGCTTTCAGAAGGTTAGGAACACACCTCTGTTATAGGGCTGTAGCAGTTATATAAAGGGCCACACATATAGCTGAATAGGTCAATACTTTCAATGTTCTATAGAATCTTTTCTATACTCTATTCTACACATTCGATAGTACTTCGCATTAAATCTGATTCTCTTCCAATTTTTTTTGGCTTCCCGCTCGAAAACGTTGGGATCCTCTCGTTGTATGGGCAACGACCTTTCGCCGACTGTTCGGCCTCAAGGCGCTGGAATTAGCACCTGCAAACGCCAGTCTCTGGATTGAATGTGGATCCTGTGCGTACTGGGTTGTGTCTTTTTTGTGCCGTCAAATGAAATTGCGGAAAGCCCTTGAATTGTCGTCTGAAACCGTAGCCGAATACAAGCGAAAGAAGGTAGGTTACGCACACAAAAAACAAAAAGAGTTCAGCGGAACTCTATCAATATTTGTTTCGTATAGGAAATAGCTTACTTAGGATTCTCTTCGACAGTAAAACAGTTATCTGATTATTGAAATCGGCAAAGGAAGTCGTGAGTATATTCGATAGTCCCTATAAATAAAAAAATGCTACATCCACGCTTCTATTTTTATCACTTTCAGGTGGAATATCTCAACATGGCGAAAAAATGCTACACAGAAGCAATCTGCTGTGAGAATGAAGGCAATGGAAACGATGAATTGTGGCTCTGCCATTATATGCTGAGCAAGGTCAGTGAAATAGTTCTCTTTACAATAATTTTTCTAGGTATCGGAACGTAGACCTCGAATTCTGGAAGATCGTCTTAATGTTGTATTTTTACGATTTTCGTGTCGAGTTTTGCTTAGCATCTAGCTAATCATAGATCCTACCTTAATAAATACACAGTGAAGCTTTAGCCACCGACCATTTTGAATATTCGGAAAATCTTGTAAATATAAATAATTTGGTTTAATTTTAAAAAAAATGTGCTTTCTAATGAGCCACTTCTACACGTCCCTCGTTTGTAAGAAATGTTATTGTTATCGAAAATTAAAAAAGAATTCTGAATAATATTTTGAATCATATTTACAAGAGAATGGTGAATCTCATTAGCGATATCACTTTCGTCTCCTTTACTGTTTGATACAATAGATAACGCACAAAATGGGCGAGCCGCTTGAGGTCTATTTGGAACACATTTCACGGGCTGCACAGAACCTCTATGAAATGAAGGCCCGTTACCCTAAAAAGGTCATATATCAGACACCCGCGCATCTATCAATTGAAGCCCTTGAGATGCACTATAAGGTTTGTAGCTAGTAAAAAATGTCTTCAAGTTTTATGTAAACAACACGTATATAAATACGAGCTTAACGGAAAGCTTCTTGGATAGTTTTGGGTATCTAGTTTGAAGGTATCTTAACAAAAGTGTTTTGGTAATACTGTAATTATAATTTTGTCCTGATTTGTTTTGCAGGTGCATGCGTTCGCTGCAAAATTCCTCATTAAGAATCAGCACCGGCAAATCTCACCTGCAGAGCTTCAAATTCTTGAGAGCCACCTTCGCGAGGCTAGCGAAGGACATTTCGCAAGGTGAGATGACAAAAAAAAGAATGATTAACGTGGTTCAGTATGTTTATATTAAAATTCTTGCTGATCTGTCCTCTCAATATATTTTAGGCTAACGCTTTTTCAATCCATGTTACGGCTTGCGGTTATTTCAAATTTTGTCAAATTCTTAAGTTAGCCAAATTACAGGATTTCTAATTCATTACGAGAGTTTAGATCTTAAAAGTTGTTCCTGGTTTATGTTATATTTATATGAAATTAGGCATCGTGAAAGACTGAAGGAAGCATCCGTTGCCTTAGTACTAGACGGTGACGAGAGTGATGCAGGCAGTCGTACGCCGAAACGCGGAGTTGGTCGGCCCCCGAAAAAGTAAGTCTCATAGATTTAATCATTCCATATTGTTGAAAAGACTATCTACACATATATTTTTAAAAAGAGACCCAACTGTTTGTTAGCCAAGTATCTTTCTTTCTAAAAATTATGCAATAAGTTTTATTGATTAGTTGCCTTATGACTTTGAAAGAGTCTTAGTAGAGTGCTCAGCTTCTATTGAAAACATCCTACGAAACTTTTGACTTAGTGAAAACGGCTTTCAAGCAAATGGTATGATTTCCACGAAGTCTTAGTTGGCCTCAACGTTCGGTTTCCACGTGCTGATTGTTTTTTTAATTAAATAAAAACGGATATAAATTACCGGACTCAGTAGGGACCAGAGCAAGGAGAAAAAGGCCGAGGACACAGCAATTCCTCAGGCGGTTCGAAGGAGCTCACGAAAGAGGCTAGCCTCCCAAGAAGAGATTACAACTGTTTTAAATACTCTGAAGGGTAAACCGTCTAGGTAAGGAAGTAAGGCCGCGTTAAAAACGACTTTTGGATTTGCTAAACTCTCACAGTCCAACCCATGGTAGTACTTAAATTATATCCCATTACTTCTCCTAGGAAAATCATTGTTCTGGTATGTTTAATCCATATCAAAAAATATGCGAAGGCCTGCACTGCTTTTGAGCACAACATGTAACAGGTTTCTAATAACATGCTTGTTATATAAATATAGGAAAACAATATTGCCTGTGGAATGCCCTTTTAGTTTTATTTTCTATATATCATATAAGTCTATAAACTTATATGTTGATAACCTGGCCCAAACATCCTTGGTCGATCGAAGTCACTTTGCAATCAAGCATCGCGTACTATGTAATAAAGCTTGATTTTCAGATATTTTTAGAGGTTAAAAGTTAAACCTGGATCATCATAATTGCTTTTATCCTTCAAATAGGAGCAACTTTCAAGAGGAATCGGAAGTCGATGCTGTATCAGCTGTTATGGAAGAACTTCTGACGGCAGTCGAAGCGTCCATCGAAAAAGAGAGAAGGTCTGTAAATAACAAACTCACTAAATACTTATAGTTTTTTTTAGCGTGCGTTGTGATAAAACCATCTGTAAGTTGTTTATCGATTTTACAAAAGGACCAAAATTATTTATCAATGACAAAATTTCATCATGAAAAATAATTTTCGCTGACATAACATTAACAAAAAAAAAGTAGATTATAATTATAATAACGGTTATTGACACGTATAATTTATTACTTTTTATTAATATTTTTGGCATTCTCTATTTTGGGGAATGTAGTGAAAAAACTGCTAATTTGTGTGCCTGACGCCATCTCTCTTACATTACGTAGATACCAGGACATGTCGGAGTACGATTCATTACTTGAGCAACTGTTCAACTACTGCCTAGATGCATTCCGCGAGTGCATATTTCGTTTTTCGGCGCACTTCAAATCGGTGCGTCGAGTTTATTTACTTTTGAAAATGGGAAATGTCATAATCAGCAGATAATTATGTTTTTTCATATGTGAATTCCAAAATTTTGACGACTAGAGAAAACATTTTTAAAAAAGTTTGCAACTAAGCTATTTAGCCTTTTTGTACTATGTTATCATGCCCCAAATGTTATGCTGACAGCCTATCTACATGCATATATGATAATAAATTGTATTTATTTTTAAATAATTTGATTGATAGGTGTATCACATGGCCAACTTATATTTCCGCTATAAACGACATCGGGACCCCGCCCTCGCTTTGGACTTCCTTGTAGCTAAACAGAGTCGGCCTCCTAAATTGTGCACGCAAGGCCTCTTCGCTGAGCGGCGAGCTAGTTGCCTTTTTCAGGTTTATATCCAATGCGTTCTATCACATAAGTTTTTCGTAAAAACCTTATCGCAGACCTGTATTTGTTTTTGAACACTTGCGAAGTTATTGTCTGAAGTACTCTATGTTCGTTAACAATTTTGCTATTACTGAATGAAGACGTTCACTTACTTTAGCTGCCTAGAATTTTTTCGATTGACTATAGGGCGTTTGGCATATTCCTGCCGACGAAATTGATCGTCCTGGGAGCTTTGCAACACACCTTTACAGGGCAGCGCGTCTCACTCAAATAATAGCCGCCAGCCAGCAAGATCACGAAGTTCTCATTCAAGTCGGTAGGTTCCAATCTCGACTTTACATCAAGATAACAAAACAATTTTGTCCAATGACTCTTCTATCTCGATGTCTTTCATAACATCCGAATCCAAAATAACAGTGCATCGATGGTAACCAAGTTTTAGCGAACCTTAGAAGAAGTTTAAAATTTCAACCTTCAAGTTCAAGATATCTTCATCCACTTTGAATCTAGTGAAGTGATAAATGTCTTTCCTAAGGGCCTTCGAATACTGTAAACCGAGTTTTTTTTTTATGCTGCTTTATCTGCTATCCTTCCGTAGCTTTGATGTTGGCAAAAACGCCGGATATGGAAAGAAAGTACATTCGAGACTTTGATAGGTCGCTCGTATCCCGAACGGCATTCAAAGAAGGCGTTCGAATAGTGCAGAGGAGATTCAGCTCATTGATGAACGAGGAGCCTCCACCTCCAGAAAAGGTTTGTCTGAAGGACCTAGACGCTTAGATAACGCTGTATACTAATTAATTTGCTTGGGTAATAATAGAACGATTACGTCAATATGTACTGTTGAATTATCTTCCATATTGTGACGTGTTTTCTCGTATGAAAAGAAAATAAAAGCTGAGTTACTCAAATCAAAGTCATGTCAAGCCCTTCAGAGGTTTCAATTTTTTGATAAGCATGTTGCATCAGTATAATATCCTTCTGAATATTTACTTTTTTCAGACATTGGTGACGGGCCTGGTAGATATCTACCGAGTATGGCAGCAATGCTCGAAGAGTGGTAGCTACCTTAAGGAAATTGAGGCTGTCTTCAAAGAAAGCTATACTCTGTTTAAGGTATGTAAAAGGCATCTAAACATAGACTCTACATTGACCACTTTCATTGACTTTCAAACAACCGTTGGATATTTCGCTGGTGATATTCTTTCAATATTCGTTTTTACAAATTTCATTTAAGTTTAAATAAATGATTTTTGTTCTCAGCTGGGCGAACTAGATAAAACGCCTTCCGTTGTGGAGCAGGCCGCATCATTCTGCTCAAAATATTTATTGCGAGAGGCACGGAAAGAGAAATTAGCTCAACAAGAGGCTCAGCGGCTGGCTAAGCTTGCCAAAGAGATGGCTGTAAAGGCCGCGCAGGTACGTAGTGATAAACAAAGCATGGAGAGACAAATTCGTACTGCTATTTTGACTTTACGTAGATAAAGAAGACATACGATAAAAGCATATTGTATGTACTCTGTAGGATTTATTTTTTAAGCAAACCCACCATCGATTTAATGTGTTTGGTTCTAGTGTTATGAGGTTTCGTAGGGAAGCAGCCCGTGTCCGGTGCGCACGCATATATTCGTCTATTCTTTTTTACCTGCGTCTACCTTAATTCTTTAATTCAGTTGGATCGAACATAATATCTGCTACTGTGTGCATAAGTTTAACTTAATCAAAGCATTCAAAATGCAAAAATTAAATCAGTGGAAATCATGATTACGAAACGGGGAAGGTATCTACTAATAAAACTTATCTCTCGCGGTGTCGCTCTAAGATGGCTCGGCTTTCTCTATTGTTTTTCTTTTACAGGAAGCCGCTAAACAGGCGCAAGTCGCAGCGCATGAAGCGCAAATGCAAGCGATGCGTGAACAATTCGAACAGCAACAGGCTCTTATCGAGGAAATGGAAAAAGCAGCTGTTGGTCCGTCTACGACAGTTCCGAGATCTCCCGTGAGGATCAGTGCCAGGGTTGGGCCAAGCCACCCGGAATCGCCTTCACCGCCACCTGAAGGCAGGAAGCCTGAATCTCCGTGTGGACCACCCCCTCACTGTAAGTAAAACATAGTAACACTTAATACATACAATTCATGTGGACCGTAAAACTGATGCTTTTATAATAGATTTAGTTTATGTACATTGCCTGCGAATATAATAAATATAATAGACTTTTCCATGAACAAACATATTAAGTTCTTTATTCAAATTAAGCTTTTTGGCTTTGAAGAATGGTAGTATTAGCGTTATGCTTTACATATATGTAAACACTGTACCTAGATCTGCGTACTTCATTATCGATAAACGCGTCGATCGTTGGAGTAATTTGTCCTGTTGCACTGTCATGTACGTCTTACGGCAAACGAGCAACATAACAGAAAAAATAAATTTTCTTGCCTCTCATAATTTCAAGACTCATCTTTGACTGGTTTTTTGTCTGCGCTAGAATATCTTACAACGCGAATGTTAATTATCTTAAGACCGCATCGTTTGTACAGAAACAACTGATTTAGATCAGTCACAGAAATACGATGATTTTTCAGCAAGCGATTCGTCTCCGACGAAACAGTCACCGCCGAAGACTGGTCTACAGACTATGTCGGGACACCCAATAGGTAGTGTCTTTGAAGGGCGCTCAGCTCTTTCGCCGCCTCGACCTCCGTCTAGCACAGACGTCTTCCCCCCGATGTCGCCGACAGTTGCAAGTTCTATAGGTGTTATGGCTATGCTAAAAGGTGATATCTTTATTATGTGCGATACAGCAACTACAATACATTTACATTTGTTAAGGCTGTTGGATAGTTGTACGATGTAAATTGAATATATTTCCGATTCTCGAAAAACAAATTGAGAAGGTTGATTCCATATCAATATGCCATGGTGCCCCAATCAACGAAATGATAGAGCGGTAGCGTATCTGCCTATTAGGGTTAGGGACATAGATTCGCGTGTTGGATCTATTATCATTCGCCAGGTCTTTAGGGGTAGAGATGTTTACATCTAATTGTAAGACAAACTAAACATGTGCAAATTCAATAATTTAGTTGGTGTCTTGTGTGTTCTATCATAGAATATTCAAAAGAGAAATCCCCTCCAAAAAATCCGTCACGAGTTGAAACCGATAAGTTTGGCCAGACGGAAAAAGCTGCAGAGGCGATGAAAGGTATGTTAGAATGTTCGTAGACTACAACATTTGCTAACTTACATCACAGCTCAAATTTATGTGACGTTGGATTTAAATTTCTTAGGCATGATTATCTAGAGATAAAGCTCTAGTTACTAAGTGACGCCATTACCGGCCAAAGTACATGAAATATCGCAGTTTCTGGGCGCCAAGAGTAACTATATTATCATGTTTTACTACTCAAACTTTTCAGTGGTTGAAAGCAGTCCAAACGTACCAGTCCCTACTGCTAATACAACAACCAAATTACCCACGATACCGCATCTCCTAGAAGGCCTGGCTGCTGACATTCACAAAAAACTGATTGAAAGTTCTCAGCGAAGGTTAGTCAATATGATTTGCCCTATATAGAACTAGTTAGTCTAAAAACTAATTTAGAGAAGTAGTGCATATTGACATAAAATACCTAGATCGTTTTTATATGCTATGTATATCTAGTGGGTTCAGTTTTCACACAATGGCATCAGTGCATTTTTCTATCTGCATTAGCTAAATGGCTTGTTGATACGGAGAGTCAAAAAAGGCATTTTACAGCGCAGTTGTTGAAATGTCATTTATTAGGAATAAATGTTAGCTCTTGAATGATAACGCTTGTTTTCCTGTCACTAGCAAGCAGCTTTACCGTAACTAACCTGTTATGCATTATAGATGCATGGTCCCCGCACATGAGTAGAGCTCAAGAATTCAATACATATATTTATTCTCCAAAGCTTTTCATTATTTTGAATGACTAAGTAAAGCGGGTCGAGGATGGTGAATGATAGGAGTAACTAATCAATATTGAGCATAACTGTTGGTTTAATTAAGGGAATATTTTAGGCCAAGCCATCATTACTTTTCGAACTCCATCATCTATAGAATCCTCACCATACTAGGTCGAGATAAGATTCGCATCTGTAGCGGCCACCTGCAAACACTTTCTGGCCTACTTTTAGAAAGAAATTCACATATTGATTTGTTCATCCACCGTATCGTAGACAAGGCAGGCTGTATTTTTTGCGGTATTAAGTAATTATAAAGCAGTGCTACAAAATGACAATTGTACAGAGTTGACGATGGATTACCAAATTACTTTAAGGAGCCGCAATGAATCGATACCGCCTTTGCAAAAGCGCAGCAATTCCAGGGCTGGTGGCTCCTCAGGTTCAAGCCCTGAGAATGAGCCTAACATCAAGAGAAAAAGAGATCCATCGGAAACAATCGTTGTGCTTTCTTCGGATAGCAGTTCAGAAATACCCTCAAATCATCTTAGCACTTCGGGTAAGATCTCCTAAACTGTGTGCATTTGTTTACCCCAGTCGTATCCCCCTCTTCCCTCATGCTGTGATTTCTCTGTTCTGTTTCTCTCTAAAATTACTCTAACCGAATAAACTTTCTACACACATCAACCAAATCAAACGCGTTCTTTGAAAAAAATTAAGGGTAATAATAAACTAATGGTGGCTGTAGCTCAAACACTTCCATCATACACACAGTTCGACTTCCGAGTTAAATACGGGCAGAATGACGGCTGGCATTTCTTTCTCCATACGTTGTGTTTTCTTCTCCTGTGGAGAAAAAATACATGAAATATTCTAATTATTTAAGTTCGTAGTCGCATGCGGCTTGGATTCGCATGTATAAAAATTGAAGCACTAAGATGGCAACGTGCAATAGATATCCTTCAGTTTTCTCAAATCTTATTAGAATTGTGTTTGTCTGTTACTAAAATGCATCTATTTTCTTTTTAGTCGTTATAGAACTTTTGAAACTACTATGTTCCTAAAAACGTTAATCACCTAAGAAAGACTTTCAATGCATTCATGTCTTGGTAAACAAGTTTGCCTGTTGGACAATGTGGCATCTGGAGCCAAAAATATCTGTTTATATTTGCATCTTATTTAGATCTATGCTGAGCCCATGCTACTCTATCTTAGCCATACGGTATTTTGATTTCATCTTAGGAAAATTTTAGAAATTTCAACTATAGGAGCTTCTCTTAGATTTGAGCATGACATCAACATTAGTCGTGACCTCGAGTGCGGAATCGCCATTACCACACAGTAAAGAGACATATACGCATATATAAAATTAAATTGATTGTAATTAGCATGTTTGCACACTTTTTTTCTTTTTGCATGTCTATTTCACGTTCGTAGTTCCCCCAAAGGCTTTAGTAGGATTTCCAGAATTCTAGGATAAATGTGAATAACATCAATAGAAAGGTGTCTTGTGCAGAGTAAGGACACTTGTTTGAATGGTGGGCTAAACTTACTGGTGAGGCACGTAGCTCATTTACCTTACTTGGTTGTACGCAGAAATTTATTATCTTGTCCAGTTGACGTCGTGTCGGGAAGATTGTATGCAGTTACGGATGAAGATTGCGTGATTCCATATAAAGTGCAGCAGATTTCAAAGCAAAGTTATGCTAGCTTTGATGATTGCATTTGCAGTGCAAACGATCCCGGAAGCCCAGGCAGAGCTTTCTCTCAACCGTCCAAGTACCAAACAAACTAAATGGTATCCAACGACCGCTGCGATTATTTCTACCACCACGCCAACGCCTAATGGCATCAGTGCGCTCAGAAAAGCAGAGATACATGCTAGAGATTCAAAGGAGGTTAGTTATCTCACCGAAAACCTTAGGTAGTGCTTAGACTAACTGAGTCAATTACTGACCGTATAGTATACCTCATCCTCTAGTACGCAGCATCCTTTTTCAAGTTTCAAACTGTAAGTAATGAAACATCAGCGGAGAACTCTGTGTTTATTCACCGACATTCCTCTTTTGGTATCAAGTAGCATATGTCTGGCCCAGTCCGCGTTCTTACAGCTATATTTTTCCGTTGTTAAAAGATTCTCTCAAAACACCTTGTGTATATGGTCTGGTATTCGTTTTTTGTGCAGTTTTTTTTTAACTTTTTAACTTAAATAAACTAACGGGCTTCCATTTATTGTTCCAATGATATTCTGTCCTTGACGAAACGCACTCTGTTAACTGATCCGTTAGTTCATGCAGTCAATGCCCTATCCAATTTTTGTTTCGATCTCGCGTCCGTCTTCTATACACGTTTTCTGAAGTATCTCCCAACTATTTCATTACGTGCTTGGCCCAAAAAAGAAAACTAGTGCGCTAGAATAACTTCGAAATAATTTAGGACTAATAAGAAAGGGAGCGGCTTAACCACATCTAGGGAGAAATTCTTTTAGAAATAACTACTTTTATTCAATAAACTGGTTTATGCAACGCTCAGGTTTTAACTTATCGGGCGGTGGACCCCGAAGTCAAGCGAGTGATGCAGGCTGCAACAGAAAAGACGGTGCCGGGCGGAGCTGTCGTAGCTAGAACAGGTCTGGCAGGCCCGGAGGCGGCGTTAACAAAGACAATAGCAGCCGCTGCGTTTGCTTCAGCTCGTGCAACGACCCTGACTTCAATGGAGACAGCCAGATCGAGGCTGCTCACGTCGACACCAGTGGCCGAAACGGCCCAGGCAGTGCCACTAATATCAACACCAGTACCTACAGGGGATAAAAGCTCGTTTTTCCAAACATCAAATCGAGCAAACTTTGCCGGCAGAGATCGCATCGGCGGTCGAACAGCACCAGTAACTGATGACGAGAGCAATAGCGGGAGTGATTGCGTCGTCATTGAACCGTCTCCATTGCCCCCTTTGGCGCAGCAGCTGCAAAATATCTTGCCGAAGGGTGTCACATTGACGCGGTGCGCGGTAAGCACGAGTAACGCAAATGAGGACTTTGCAAATAGCAGCGGTGGCAGCGGCGGTGGCGGCGGCGGCGGCAGCAGCAATGGTAAAAAAGATCGAAATAGCAGGTAGTAGTCAGTCGTTAGCAGAAACAGAATACGAACAAAACGAATTTTGGTATATGTATCCTTAGCAAAAAAAAACAATAGAAATACAATACTAGCATATAAGGAATAACTAGCACTGCCTTATGGGTGCCGGAAAAACGCAAGCGTCAAGCTTAGATATTAATTACTAAATGACATTTCAATATAGGTGAAAGTAGAAGCTTGTAGAAGCTCTAAAGATAAGAGTTCGCTCGAATCGGTCTTATTTTCCTGTACGCAACATCTTAAAAAGTTTCTGGTTTACGTATGAGAGTAAGAATCATTTTGTCACACAAAATGTCGCTTCTAAAAAAGAGATATACATCTATTTACCTAAGCCTTGTTAGGTAAAAAGCTCATTAATTGAACTCTTTTGCAGCAGACATTCTGCTGCAGTTTAAAGTTGCCAAGTCAATATCCCGAAAATAATACTAATGATAATGGCACCTAGCCTTTAATGTAAAATGTCGCATCGTTGAGTATTGAACCTCTTTAGGGGAAAGCGACCACTATTGTGATAGTCGTCCTGAGGAGTTTGTACAAAGGTCAACCGTAATAATAATAATAACATTTCTAATTACGTAATTCGTTAGATTTTTTAGATATGTCCATTTAACCTGTTTGATGCTGGAAGAGAATCCATGAGACTAATGATAATCTGAATGATACGGAGCTGACAGAGTATACCTTGAATAAAGGTACGAAGTGCGTTGCTTCGAATTGTGCGTCTTAATTTCTGCACTTAGTTGTTAAGTATATATTTATAAGTAAGCGTGTATCAAATAACATGTTTATTTTAGCGACCTTTTTGCGTCTGACCAGTTATTGACAACGTTTAACATATGTGTCACATTCAGTTTTTGTATAAAAACACTATTAGAAAAATCGACTACATTAATAGTAGTAGTAGCAATTTTTTGCTACTACTGTTACTATTGTAATATTGTATTACTACTAAATTATCAATTCTTGTGTCATCTGTTTTCTTAATTACCAAATACGTTATATGTATGTATACGTACATAACACCGATAACACCACTATCCCCTGTATCATTTTAGAACAAAATACTGTGTGCGAAACTTCACAGCCACTGCCATTTATGAGATACATTTCTTATATATAATAATAATAACATATATTCATGTATTTAAGGAAGCAGACATAGACGGATGAAATCGTACATGCTTTTGAACATCGTCAGCTAAAAAGCTGCTCACAGATGGGAATATTTTATGTATAAATAAGTTAATTTCATACATATATATGTAATATTTCCCTTACATAGATACATCTTAACAATCTAATGGCCTAAACAAATAAAAGGCTTTAAAATTAAGCTCGAAAAATATAAATATCAGATAAATCATCATCAATCATCGCAGACTTAGCTATGGTGGTAAAACCGATATATGTCTGTTTCGCAGTTCGAGAAAGCAGTAACGTGGCTGCTTGCAAGAAGCTGGCCGCTCATCCAACTTTCACAAACGACTTGTGACATTTCTATTTCGTTGTTTTGGTAAATTTATTAAGAAAAAAAAATGTGAGACCAAATTTTTTGCAGTGAATTCATGTAGGTTATAAATTGCAAGGCTCCTACATTACACTTATTGCATTTTAAAATAAGGTTCATTCAATCTTCGTATTGACTGACCAAACTGCTTGGGTAACCTTTGCTATTTATTCGAACAAAATTGAATAGAGTTTTTATAAAGGAAGCAGTCCCATTTCGACCTCGCTCAATAATGATAAAAGATTAAAGAAAAAAGCTCAAAAATTAAAATAGGCGAGGCTAGGACGGGTCAGTTTTTGTCCTTTCCGGAGCATAATATAGTTTTGTGCTTTCCGTCCTATCTCTACTGCATAGACATTGAGCTCCCTGAAGGACGCAAGCTCCCGATGAAGAATGGAAACTCGATTTCCTCGTAGTTACAGCGTGAATTAAGGTCGATACTATGACATGATAATGAGTTTATAAATTGAGGATTTGATCGGGTAGAGAAAAATGAAATATCTTGGCACTTGATCAGAAGCTTTACCTCTAAAAACTAGACTTTAGTAGGTTTTCTGATAGCAAAAGAAAAATTATATTTTTTAGAGCTATTGGGCATAGCTCGATTCATGATTTCATTTTTTTCTCTTTGTGTGTGTGTGTGCGTGCATGTTTATTCCCGATATCAAAAAGACAATTAGTAGACTAATTACATGTTGTTACCGATATTGAGCAATTAGCCGTCTAATCGCCTTATTATAACATATTTCGAACATGCAATACTTAGTGAGAAAATTTTACAAGTTTGCTGTGTCACAGGTGTGCATTGCTGTTCTTATATGGTTTTATAGACGCCCAGTGTGTGTCCCTGAATACGATTATTCAACAGCTTGTTGTAGAAACTCAGCTTAAACAAACTGCTATATACTTCAAACAGAAGGGCCAAACCTTCGAAGGGTCTCACGATCGGATCCGAAAATTATCATTACATATAGATAGATTTTTGGCACCAATACCGTTCTCTGGACACTGTTTACTAGACGGGGACCTAAAGTACACACATATACAAAACATATACAGATTGCAATAAAAAGTACAAACCTTTAGTTAAAAACGAACCCCATGGCTAGCTAACTCTTTGTACAGCGCACAGCATATACCGCTTTTTGTTATTCCGAAGGCGAAAGAAACATAAAGGGTGCTGGGATCACCGCGAACCGTAGAGTGCGCAAACTTCAGCGCAGTCACTCCAGTCGACTACAAAAACGTAAGTGTAATAAAAGTAGTCCACTAAACATGTGTCACTATATTTTAATAACGTTTCTACTGTAAGGTGAAGAGAAAAAGTTCGTCGTAGAAAGGAATTCTATTATAAAATGAGCGGCCGTATTCAAAATCGGTGAATTCTATGCCGTCGATTCGCTTTGGTTTTCCTCCCAGTCATCTTGACATAACCAAATAGTAGCGATAATCTTGCATGATTTTTTGAAAGAGTATTATTGCACCTCTTGTCCATTGTTTTTGATAGCAAACCTCAAGAATGTCTATACTCGGGTTAACAATATATCTATAAACGTAGTTACTGCTGACAGTTTACTTATGGGTAACTTTGCGTGCGGCGTTTGCAAAGCGAAATTAGCGCATTTGCAAGAACAGAAAAGTTTCTTTACGATTCCACCTGACCTACATAAGGCTTGTATCGGGTAGTGATTGTCCGTTCGATTGGTTCCGAAACCGTTGTGTGTGGGCCTGAACCTGAGCCTGTACTTGGGCCTGTTGCGCTTTGGCCGCAAACAACTCTCTTAGCAGCTGAGCCTTCTCTGTTTCCAGCTGTCTAATTATGCCTTGTCGATTTTCCAACTCGGTGCTTAGTTTCGCATTGTGCTCTTGTAGACGCTTAATTTCTGTCGCATTTGCCGCCACCTAAAACATTTTCAGGCAATGCGTTAAAGAAACCATTGAAAATTAAAAACGGACATTCACGAAAATCCAGCAAATCCACATCCATATCGAATACAGATGCCTTTTCAATGAATCCGCTAGAGTCATCTGCGAACAGCAGGTTGGCTTTTCGTCGAAAATCAGTAATATTTGATTTATCTCTACGGGGCTGGACGATGTTATAGTCTAACAGAGAGACACAGCTACAGGTATCCATTAAGGTAACTCATAACGATGGATATAAATATCGTTTTCTATTTACGCAAAGTGTATAGTGTGTGCGGTCGGATCCTGAAGCTGCCGCGGTCTTTACACTGGTTTCTTTCAACCGGTGATTTAACTGTACATACGTGGCTACACTGGTTTCTTTCAACCGGTGATTTAACTGTACATACGTGGCTACACTATATAAATAGTTTTCCTTATTGACACTAGTTCTTCTACTGATCGTGCAGATGGATTTTTAATTGTTCATACACCACTACATTTTATTTTGAGGCAGACATGACGTGCCTTTACGTATATAGACAAACGTATTATACTAACGTATTTCCCCTTAAATGTACCCTACGTCTCAGAGATATAATTCTGTAATTTTCATAATCTAGCTACCTGTTGATGCGCGGTATGATGTCGTTGTGGTTGCTGTTGAAGTTGCGAATAGTTGATATTATGGAAATTATTGATTGACAAAAGGGCGAGATTCATGTGAAGCGGAAACGACGCTTTGTCCCCGCTCTCAACTAATGCCGCGAGCCGATGATTCACATCCATGATCCGAGCCATCTGTAGGCGGAGACGTTCCTCGTGTGTATCAATGGAGTATTCCTAAAGTAGACATATTGAATAAAATCGAAATGTATAACACTGGTACTACCAAATAATTTGTTGGTAAATAAATGTTGCTACTAACTAGTTTACCTGTGGAATACAGATTTTCTTTCTGTGATTTGCAGTATGACTGCTAAGCATTCAGTGATTGGTTCTGCTTTTTCAAGGGCTGCACATTCACAAAAACTGAGGTGTGAGGCTACATCCATGGACACGTTATGTTTTTCAAAAGCGTTACATGGAGGTCAAACTCATCGTCATTTTACCTCGATATTAACACTTCAAATTCATTATTTCCACAAAACGGCTGCAATTCATTAAAATTTTCATGAAGATTTCCTTTATCCCGACATAAGTATGCAATCGCTTAACACTTACTGGATTGGCATATCCATGAGATGTGGCTTGTAGCTTATCCTGGACATTACCGACTTGTCGTAAGTACCAATCTCGTGCGCGCTCAACGGCCTGTAGACCTTTTTGAAGAACTTCACGCTCTTCTTCAAGAAGTTTCAGACGCCTGATCATCCCGTATTCAATACCTATCAAATACACCTAGACATTATTGATTGTTCTACAATATTTGTCTTTTTATATCTGTTGTGATTTTTTCTGGGTGAACGCATTTTTCTGTGAAATCATATGTGGCAATACAAGGATTTGTCTAGCAGTTCTATTCTAATTAATCTGCTCGTTGATCAGCCCCCTGGGTTAAACACGAACCGTGCGCCAAGGTGTGTCTCCGTGGCTCTCTTCTACGTGGTGGTTTCTCGGGCTTGAGACCACCGGGCGGAAGGATCATCTGTCGGAGAGGTACTTGTTGTACTTGGAATTGAGCCTGTTGTGTTGGCGTTTGCGGTTGCTGTGGAGGTTGTGATTGGGTTTGCTTATGTGGCGGGACCTGTTGTACATTGGCAGTTGCAGGTTGACAGGGAATAGCTCTTACCATAGCGGAAATGTCCCGTTGTCCAGCAGAACTTCGAAGAAACCCAGTCTGCTAGCCATGAAATTATAGAATACTTTAAGCCTTTTGTATGGAAATTTCATTTGAGTTTCGTTCTTCACATATAGGCGTAGTGTACAAAACATGATGTTTCTATAGCTGTCTACAAACGGGCTGAATCCGAATTGTTGTCATGGTTCGATTTCTTACGAGTATCGCGTACCACATGAGTAAGGTTTTTTTTAACATTTAAAAATGAACTAATACCAAGACGGAACTCTTTGTTTTTTTCCACATAATTACAACCCACCTGACCAGAAGCAGGCCCGTGATGGTTGCCTGTGCGATTTGAACCAGCGTTACCAATCGACGATGGTGTATGCTGCTGTTGCGTCTATGGGAAAAACAGCAACATCGGAAGATGTCTTTAATTATAAATTTTTTCAGGCTAAGCATACCGATATTTCCGCGGAAAATTGTTCATTATACAGTGTATTCTCAGTGATTTTCTTTAGTGAAGTTATCCTCTCTTCATTCAATCAGCTAAAACTTATCCGATAATGTGTTAACTGTATGCGTATGTGTGAATATAAGGTTAACATAGCCCGCCTTAACATGAAGCACTTTTTCACAAACCTGCATGTGTCCGTAGTGTGAAGATCCTGGAGGACAACGCATCTGTGAAGCCGTCTTTACAGATGAAACCTTATTTAAACCAGAGCCCAGCATCACCTGTAATCCGGACACGACCACAGTGGATATTACATGCACAAATAGTGAACTAGCTTTTAAAATAATCTAATGATAAACTAACAAAAGTATTCTAGTGTAGAGTTAAGCACATGTTTATTTCATATCAGAAAGTACCGACTTAAAAAGCACAGTTTCCGTAAGCAGCGCGGTTATAGAATACCGCTAAATGTAATAATAATCATTATTGAAAATGTGAATGAATTACGAATATTGTTAACAAATGTGAAGCACTGCCTGGCTACCAAAAAGTTTGGTCATCGTTAAAAATAATTACTCGCCTTATTTGCCGTAAGAACGGGTTCGGTTTGAATTGGTGCAAGCATTGCACCACCAGAGGTCTGTTGAAACGAATCATTAAGGTATTCAATATTTTTTATTTCTTTATAAATGAACGTTCAATATATTATTCATATTCACGCCAATAAGATTTGTGACGTATATTAAAAATTAGTGTGAGTCTTTAGACATTCTATTATGTATATATATATATAATACTTTTCCATTTTTAATTGATTTTATTATTAATTTTTTTCATTATTCGATTTTAATCAATAATTATTGTTAATTATAGGTTATAAGTTGAAATCATTTTTGTTATTGTGTTAATTGGCTTAGAACCCTCTTTTACCTTTTAATTGCATTTTACTGAATTTTACTGCATTCTTTTTTAATAAATATATGGTTAGTTCTAATATCTTTCTCAGCTTAAATAAGAAACAACTAAACGAGGCTATCTCACGCTTGGTAATGATATCAGTATGTGCCTTATAAAATGTTCTTTTCTAAGTTAAGTTCATCCAATACAGCAATTCATTACGAAAGGAAGAAAAAACTACTGAATGGCAAAAATGCGGCAAAAAATACCAATTGTCCTTACAGGTAAGTGACTGGTATTTTCTCTTAGCTTGCTTGAATTTCCAGCTGGAACGTTATTACTAGCTGTCATCAGAGAAGTAGAGGGCGTTGCTGATGAAGCTCCTGACGTTTGTTGCGCCGAGCACTGCTGTTGCTGGTGATGACGCTCTGTTGCGCCGCCGTGCGAATGCGTGCTAACCGGTACATTCGCACCTACTAAATCAAACCCCAAAATGACAAATCAGTCAGTACATGATCGTGTTTCTTCAAAATTCAAAGGGTCTTTTCCGTCTTTCTCTCTATCCTTTTGTGCGAGATATAACTCTAATCAATTTAAAATATATATTGAATTCGAAAAACTGCCAGCCAGTAAAATGAAATATAAGCTTGCTCAGAATGAAATCGAAATACACAATAGACAGCACCTCCTCTCACTATGTACGTATTTGCGGCGCAATTCGTCTGCCCTGAAAGTTATGGAAAAACTCGGACGTTGAACGATGTGGAGACAAATATGAACTGAATGAGCGCCTGAGAGCAAAGTTTGAGTTCCTGTTTTAGGATACCGATAAACAGGGTGTGGTTAGTGAGTACCGTTGTGGCGCGATTGCTGATGACTCTGCATCGAATTTGCAGATGGCGGCTGTATGTGATGCTGGGCCTGTCCTTGGGCGGACGAACTGGCCGAACTAATTACTTCGTGCATAACGGAATGGGCTCGGCGTGCAGGTGGGGGAGCTAGAGGTGGTCCCAACTGAAGGCCTCCAGAACTCATCGACTTCAGGACAGGAACTGCTCCAGTAGCCAAACCAGGTAATGGAAATGGCTTTCTAAAAGAGAGAACATAACTTTGAAATTTAGTAAAAAATACGCTGCCCATCGTGATTGTGTAAAGGGCTCTCAATGCAAAACTTTGGCTACGACTTCATTTCATTACCTTTTTCCAACTGCCTAAGCTGTCTATACAATTAAAAATGGTAAAATTTCGTCAAAGCATATCACGGATGTACAACTCGGCCCGCGTCAATAAATCACATGAAAGTATTCTTCACCTGTTGGCTGGTAAGCCCGACAGACCTGAACTCTGGCCTGTATAATCCGCTGATCCGTGAAGGGTTTGCTGCTTCTGAGCTTGCGATTCGGCGATACTACTGACCGACCTCATCATGGGTGGTTTGATAGTTCGCTGATGGCCACTCGAGTTCTCCAAAAAATTGTCGGGAGTGCGCGACCGGCCTGAAAGGCCCGATGGTGTGCCGACTGCTAGACTTGCTGCAGGTCCTGCTCGAATAACAGAGAGAAAGCAGAGATGATAAAATGCCATGTGAACTCCTTTGAGATGACTCTTAACTGTGATGTTTGTTAACACAGGTTTTCGAAATCTTTTTTTGATATTTCTGTCGACTGTGATAGATAGCTAAACAAATAGGTCATAAAAAGTAAAGATACTCGCGCATAAATAGATCAGTGTATTACTATTAAGAATTCATTACCAGAAGAATTTAGCGAGGCCCTGTGTGTCTCAGCGGTTTCGCTCGGCGGCCGAACGATGCGTCGAAGCTGGAAGGCAGAAAACAAACGGAATTATAGGCCATTTTCTATGCAGTGTAGCAATTATGAATACAAATGTCAAACTGGCAATTGTTTTCTCAGAGATTCATCTATATATCAACTTCGATGTCTTGCTTGCCTAACCAATTAGGAGCAGGCCTATTTTAACACTGAAACCGAGTGAATCATTCACATTTGTTGATCCTGGCGAAGGGCCAGGCGGGGGACCAGGCTTTTGTTGTTGTTGACCGGGTTGAGGTGGAGGCTGACGGGATTCTCCAAGCGAAACTACCCCAGCACGCGAAATGGGTTTGTCACCGTTTAAGTGGTTTGTGTTCACCGTTGGAGGCCGAACCTACTCAAAAGAAAGAATGACACAACAGATATGTTAGTAGTTGAAACGAGAACAAGCAGATCTGAACTTAGTAGTGTAAAATATTTAGAAGTACTGTATACATTTCCAATAAAAAACAATATGAAATAATGATCTGGCGCAGCTGAGCATTTGACTCTGATTTGTATGCTCCGAAAGAACCACCAAATTATCGAGTAACCAAAATGTCAAAAAAGTACATCTTGTTTCCTTATTGGACTTTCAATAACATTTTTTTTCTTACCAAAGACGGTGGCAGCAACATGGATCGTTGCGTTTGTTGCGCATGTCCCTGTGAACTAGGGGTAGGCAAAACCCTTGTTGCTCTACTTGTGCAGCCGCGAGATCCGGGCGCAGCGTCAAACTGATTCTCGAACGAGGAATTCAACTTGGTTAAATCCCCAGATGAAGCACCGGCTAAACGGCCGACGTTCGTTCCATTTTCCTAAACACCACAGCAGGCGTTGATACAAAGCGGTAAATTTAAATGATTACATTCCATCTCTATATACGATATAAGTATATTAGACGCAAAATACTGCTCAATTGGTATGAATAGATAAGGGCTCATCATATAATCAAATAAATGCCATTCAATGGGCCTTTCACGGGCACATAGATATATTCCAATATACATTTTTGTCTTAGATGTATAAGGAAAAGGTACAACGAACCTGTCGTAGAAAAGACTCTCCCGCCGTAGGCGGTACGCTAGCTGCACGAATGCCTATTGAGCCACTATCTGTAGTGGACTTGTTCTGGAAAAATAAAGAATATCAATATTCTGTAAGGGTATCCGTGATTAAATGGTGACTAATAGTCATCTGTCACTAAGAGCATCGGGATGTATGAAATTTAAATAATAACCTTTATTCCACTGTTAATTTTCGTCTAACTCTCTTAAAGTTGCCTGTTAAAGCAAGAGTTCCACTCAGTAAATCAAACAAAGAACGGCCGCATATTGGTTTTAGAACGACACAATTGAATTGAGTACGCTTTATCCATGGACGATTTGCAGTTTAATGCCCTACCGGAAGGTTTGGAATAACACACTATTCTTGTTGTTGAAACCCGCCATTTACCAGTTCAGAGCTAATTTGCGCTTGCGAATTGTTGTTGCTTCCGAATTTTGGAAGGCGCGAAGCACCTGTTGACTGTGGGGTGATTTGCGAGGATGACACGGTGGTTGAGTTTGGTACGGTAACAGCACTAGTCGCTGGCGGCGGGACAACCGAAGCGAATCTAAAAGGGATTTTTACAAAAATAATGCAATTGAATTTAAGGTTGCTGGTTGTGAAAACCTAGGTAGTCAAGGATTCGAGGATTATACGCCTATTTTAGTGAAGACTTATAGGGATTTATTAATAAGAAATGGTAACCACGCCAGTTAAGAGACGACACTTAGGCGCCACGTCAAAAAGGTTTCCAGTTTTATACGCAATCCGTACGCATTACGTGACTGTAAAACATTAATGTTTACACGGCATCTAGGAGCTAGTAGCGAACCATATTTCCCGTGTAAATTATTATCGATTGCCCGATTTTATAAATATTAGTACAGCATAACGTAAAGAAGAGTACTCAATAGCACTGAAGGCAAAAGTAAACAATACTTGTTAAGATTCCAAAACAGTACATCGCGGTCAGACGAACAGTTACTAATACGAATTTAACTGACTAACCTTGACGACTCCAGTAAGCCTGCTGTCGATGAATTAGAGCCCTGCTTTCGATGATCGAAGTCCTGCTGTGTAAGTAGATAGAGATAATTGCAAATTCAGCAGTTATAGAATACTAGTCTTGTTTACCATCTTTGTATACGGCCAGTAAGAGGAGTTCATTAATTCTTTACGCCGTCTTCTTGCTTTATAACTGCCTTAAATATAGGCGATAAAAATCGGAGACGAATGTTTGATTTACTATACCAACGTTTTCAAATGTAGCCGCTGTTGCTGTAGCGGGTGTCAGACCACTTAATGCGGTACCACTTTTCTGTACTAGGGGTCCACGACTCATTGCAGAGGTTTGTCCCGTAATGGAGACTGGCGGGGCCGGACTTCCTGCCGATGTCACCGATGAGACGCTGTTATTGCAGGATGATTTCGGGGAATCCGCTAGTAAAGACATCTTCAACGCCAGACAGAGTCTGAAAAAGTTTATGACATTGGAGTCTCTCCTGATCAAATAGGTTTCAAATTCAAATTAAACCATGTCCAACAAATAATCATATAACGCAAGTTCTACCTGTCGAAGCTGAGTAGCTGACTGTGGTTTTGATCGGCAACAGCCCGCAAGTGATCAATAACTTGCGCATTTGCTTGTCGAGCCCATCGACTCTCGATGTCACGGAGGGGCACGAGGCCAGACCCTGAATGTAATGAGAAATTTGGTCGTTGTCAGTAATAAACACAAAACAGTAATAAGGATAAATACTGGAGAAAAGCACTATGTTTTGTCAATCCTGTCTGATACAATGCTCATACACTTCTAGAGTGCACAATTGGAAGTTTATAAGTGATAGGTTGATGGGTAACGTATGTGCCTACTAGTCTTAGGGACACGTTGTGGACTGGGATCAAACTCGGGCCTAGAAACACTGCGTTTCATGCGAGGGACCAGCCGTATGATAGAATGCCTAACGGCATGCCGGACGTAAAACTCGAGATACAAAAGTTCTACACAGCTGTTCAATAATTATTCTTATTTTGTATGTCTATTGAATTGATATGCTCTTAGCGTAAAACGGTGTGGAACAGTTCTCTCCAACCGTGAAGCTGTTTACGCACTGATCAATGCCAGAACCATGATCAGACTAGCAACCAGTGGTATAGCGACAACAATCCGGCGCTAATAGTCAACCTCAATAGTGTTGCATCAAACAATACACCCGTTCACACAGACTAAAGATACGCACTCCACTATAAAATAAAAAAAAAATGTGTAAAATCGTAATCATACTAAAATTCACAGTTAGGCTTAGGCATTATATAT